ACAATGATTCAACGAAGCGGTAGTTTAATAGGACGACTCCCGCTTCATCGACCCGGTAGCTCGTTGCTCGTAATTAATCTGCCAATAATTACTTCCCACGACTCGAGGAGGGCGCAGACGCTCGATAAAACGTGCCCGTAGGCTTGGAGGTTAACAATAGGCATCTGTCTATTCGCGTTCCTCCATTTAAAACTCTATCGTTTCCTCTCCGCGATTATCTGCTTACGAGAACAGGCTGGACACGAACGGACCTCGGGATTCTTTGTGTCGCTGGACCATTAGCTCGAAAAGCACGCTCTACGAGTTTCGAGTGAAAACGTGTAATTCGCGTCACATTTTAACCAAAGGACCCTTGCGAGATCGACCGGTCTGGCGCGTGACATTTTCCACGCGAGTTTCTTTCGCATTAAACGCTTTTTGCGTCTTAAATGCACCGTGAAGTCTTTCCCCGAGCGAACGAAATCTAAAACTGTCTTTTATCCTTAGAAAGTAAAACGGTCGCTGTACGCCAGGACACATAGCTTCTTCCTTGACTACGACACCGTGGAATACCTGAACAATAGCGGGTGCACTCGCCTCTCACTTCGCTGCACGCCAACGGCAGCTCGTTATGCGAATTTATTTTATCGAAATTACTTCCTATAAAGTCTCTCGATTACGAGGAAAAAATTACGCCTCTAAGTAGAATGCAGTAAACGTACACAAAATACCGAAAAAGGAACGTAGTCGTGAACTTTTCGATTAAAGATAAACGCGACGATAACCGATGAAAGGAATGATTGTCTTTGACCGCGAGCAACGGATCATCTTACGAACGACCGTTTGACGAATTGTCGTTGAAGGCATCTTCGGTCCCATCCAGATAAAAAATAATCGAGTCCATTGTGCACTGGGAACACAGGCTGGAAACAGAAATTTAACACCGGCACGCCCGTCGACAAAAATAGATAGAACCTTGAACGATGAGCCGTGTTTACGTAGTGACCGTCTCGTATTCGAACAGCAAATATCTGGAATAAAAAAAGTCGTGGAAACGCGAGCGAGGCCAGGGTCACCGGACAGATTTATTATTTTACACGACGACTAAATTAACAACGTTATTATTTATCGAACGAATATTTGCAGTTGCGTTTTATTACGTATGATATTATTGTATGCACGAACCAAGAATGAATAGTTGGATTTTACATTTCGTAACGTCGGTACACTTTCTGATCGCGTAGCGCGATAACACACGTTTATACGAACTTCCTAAGAATTACGCTGATTTACGACGGACACACATTCGTTACGATTCTCCATCGTAATCGTGACTTTCAAATTCGTTCGACTTTCTTGAGTATCAATTAAAACGATGTTGAAAAATTGTTGCCTGTCGAATGACTTTGGAAAACCGACGATGTGGAAAATGTACGAGAGACGGATTTAGAATTTCGTCGGGTGCTGCTGGTGTCTGCGATGCAGCTGGAACAATGCTAAGTGCACTTTTGCCCGACTCTCGCTCGAACGCGCACCGGCGGCAGACCATTGCTAAGATTAATTTGACAATAATTACTTCCGACCGAGTCGGCAAGGTGGAAACGAACGGACGTACTTTTATTTTAAATGGGACTCGACCTTCCATCGGGACCAAGAGAAAAAGATATCGTTAAATTAATTTAACGATCGTTACAGGGAAAAGAAAAAGTTGAATTATCAACGCTTGCTTAGCTGCAACGAACTTCGTAAATACGAATAGAGTGACGCAGGGTCAACGTAGTTAAATTAAAACACGTTCTCCTTGCTGACGCGATCGGCCAGTTTAGAACGTCGATCGCTTTGTATCGTTGAAAATGAGTCGGCGGTCTAAGGAACCTTACGATAACCTCACCTACGGAATCTAGTTTCGAGCGCGGCGCAACCAGTTTGTCGGTTAATTAATGCTGCAAAACTGGTAGTCTTGCGCTTTCCAAGTGTACCGGGCATTTATCTCGTTCGTTGCACCGCGATATATCTAACGAAACCTGCTAAATTATCGCCTTATGATTTTTTTATCGTCTGCATCGGACACACGTATCAAAGTATCCAAAGAGAACGATCCAATTATATTACCATTTTTAAAAAAAAAGATAATAAAACGCGCGTCGACCGACCGAAAAGAAACGTACTCGAAGAGAATTCCGACTAAAATGACCGATACTCGAAGGAGAAAGTTCATTCACCAGGAATCGAACGGGAAATCGACGACGTAACGATTTTCGTTTGGAAATGAGCGAGGAACTTGGTGTTTTCACGATCCAAGGATCGCGTGGGTGTGGTATATATGTACGCGTGGATCGGGCATGCAAAACACGACGCGTTATGCAACTTGCGAGTCATTTCATGCGTCTCGATCGACGCTACGCAAAGGTGGCGACGATTCTCGCGCGGCTCGCGTGTTCCTCGCGTCGTAAACCACGCGAAAAGACGAAATTTCAAGGTCGAATCGTCACCGGAATCGCGTGCTATCTCGCCGACGACGCGCAAACGTTGTCTTGCTCTTACGTAAATCGGTGCTTTTTAATAAGCTGAAATTCGATAACGCGTAATACGATCGTAATAATACGTGTGTATTTAACACTAGAAAGACTGAAACTAATGAAAGAATAACTAATGTGTAAAGAAATTTGTTTAAAATTAATTTTGTTGGAACAAGTATCACTGCATAAAAATTCGAATAACAAGTACTACTTTATTGAGAAACTGCAACTTATCGAGTATACGCCCAAATCGACAATTTATCATGTACTTGTATGTTATCATGTGTCGGTAATCGAAAAAAAAATGAAAACTGTTATTTCGATACAGAGTCGAATTTGTCGTATAAGAAATTTACTCGATTCGATACTAAGAGTCGTTTGATTATTTAAAATTTCCCAAGCAGTCGAAATGACTGCTTCTGGGCGATATAGGTATAACATAAAAATATGCATTTCTATTTAAAGAAATTATGCAATTGTTAATTGCACGTGCACTGCTGCATCTAAAAAAAATTTGAAGGCCTACAGATGTGGTGCTCTTCGAACCATTTATCTTTCTTCTTTATCATTTTTTCGTGAATGCAATAATAACGGAGTTATGGCTTGAAACAATTGGGTGGGCCACCCTGTACACCGGAAATGAAGGAGGGAGGAGGTTATTATTAATTAACGCATTTGTATGTTGTACAAAAAGTCAGAAAATTCAGAAAATTGAAATTAAAATGACTTCCTTGGGCAATCTAGTGTTAAAAAATAGATCGACCAGAAAAGTCTCCGGTATGCTTCGAACAGTACTGTCTAACAACGATAAAAAACATGAGTAGTATAATAAGTATATTGATGTAGTATAATAAGTAGTATAATAAGTATATTGAACGCGAATGTTCGAAAGGGAGAACCGTAGAATACGTACCCTGTACTCACGGCGAAAGAGCGATTGTTACCCCGCTGTACGCAAAGTCGAAGCTTTCCTGCCTCGCGAAACGGAGAATGTTCGTTAAAAAAAAAAAACACACTCACTGGAGCGTCCTGGGATCACGGTTGCACGGTTGCACGGTTGCACGGTCACGGAGGATTCTGTCCAGGAGGGAAGACTACTTAGCAGAATCACGAAGCCGCGAAGCACGCTCGCCGGGAGAAAAATGTTCGAAGCACGAGCGTAAACATCGAACTGAAGCTGCCAGGCAAGCTGCGCCGCAACACCAACCTAGGCCCGACCTTAATAGGCTGCTTTCACACCGAATGTTGCGCGCACAATCTCCACGATAGCAGACGAATTTCTAGCAATCTCAACCCATCTACAATCTCGTTACATTCGTAATATCGAATAAATTAACAAACAACAGAGTTTCACCCTCGTTCGAATTTTACTTCACGATTCACGTAAAAATTCCAGGTCCACGCGATTCGCGAAATACCGATAAAACGATCAAAACTCGTAGTTCCTTGGCTGTGTACACCGAGTCTATAATTACGCAGCCCCGAAATAGCAGGTTCCTCGTCAATATTTTAACGCAGTCGGTCAATGCCCTGTCCGTGTACCCGCGAGTGTGTGTACGTTCCGAGTTAATTTACCCGCGGATCTTTACGTACTTCCACCGTGGCTTGCAGTCGAGACTTCGCCGCGACGCGAATATATAGGGTAATCGATCGTAAGAAATTCCACGGAACCGTTAACCTAATACATAACCCCACATTCTATCCTAATAATAATAATTCCCTCGCGTCGGATAAAAAACTGGAATCGATCGTGGACTCGGTGTGGATTCGACTTAAATCGAATTCCGCACAAAGGAAGGCATTCGATGGAAAAGAACCTGCAACGGACCCGAGAGGCCCGCATCTTCCAGGCCCGCACCTAATTCATCTTAGGGCCCCGTGGTCGGTGCAATCGCGTCGGATTTCACGGTGAACGCGTCTCCCCCGAGAATTTCGCAACGGAAATGTCCATCGACGGGGCTTCGAACAACAGAAACTCGATCTGGAAAAATTCTGCCCGTTGGAGGGACGCACGAGGAAACCGCGCGGGAGATATTTTAATCGTAGACCTGTTTACCACTCGATAAATGATTCGCGCGTAAAAGCGCGACGTAATGGTGCGCGCGATTTAATTCCCCGCGAAACTTCTCGCGCGCAAGAGTAAAAGCGGACGTCTCAAGGACGGGCTCGGACTCGGTCGAGCGATTTTAATCTTCCTTTGGAAAAGACACGCGACGATAAATCGTCGCTGGATCTTAGACGCGCCACCGACACGAATGACTCTCTCTTTCGTCGATTGATGATACACCGTAGCCGCCGCGAGAAATCTCACGTTTATTTTCAACCACTGACAGTCGCAATCTGGCGAATGACTCTCGACTATTCCGTGTATTAAGATTCCCGTTTCGCTTTCGACCGTGGAACAATTGGAAATAGTTGGGTGAATGGTACGAAACGTCTTCCACGGGTTAAACGGAATAAATAAAATCGATTGCAACGCGGGAAGAAACGGTGCCAACATACCTCGTCGTCGTGGCGCCTGGACGAAGGCGCTCTGTCGGTGGGTGGCTTGGCGATGTTCTCGGTGCAGCTTCGAAGCTCGAACCGTTCAACCGTGTCGGTTGCCCTGGCGCTCGAGTCTCGAACGAAATGCGACGAGGTGCTTTCCCGTATCATCGAATCTCCTTTTTGCTTTTCCTGATTCAGCCGTTCCTTCTCCAGGAACTCTGGTTCGCTGAAACACTTTTCGAAACTGGACGCTCGTTGATGGATCGTCGGGAGATTCGGCGTCGATTTGGAAAACTCGAGCTCGTTTTTCAAGCTGTCGGTGCTGCTGTTGCATATTCTCGGCGGGTCCTGATCGCGAAACGTTCTGCGCCGTGTCTTCGCTATCTCGCACATTTCCTTTGTCTTTTATCTCAACGCGGGCAGATCCAATTCCGCATTGTTTCTCTTCCGCAATTTCGTAGGAATAATCTCGATAATCTGAAATAACTTTCGTTCAATATCGTCGGTTTCACTCTTATTACCTTCTAACGGAATATTTTGATACTCGATTCAAATTCGTACGTTAGATAAACGTGAGATCGTGTGTTTACTCTTCGAGAGATATTCGATGTATACAGTGTGTAAAATGTACACTTTCTTCTGTTAGCTGTACGAAATATACGAGCATGCAAGACGCTCTATTATTTTATCCCGTACTGTACTATCGATAACGAAATTACGGTCGAACGCGACGAATGTGGAACTCTAGCAGAAACGCGAAAGGGAAACTGGTGGTAAAATCGTTTCGTAAAGTCGTTCAGACTTAAATCGTTGCAACGTCATGAGTTCTGTTGACACGGTAGATACGGATAACCGGTTTCGATTAAGTATTTTCCCAAACGACAGACCTAACCTCCTCGTTTCCCAACGCACGATACTTCCGCGATCTAGAAAGACGCGAACGGTACTATCTCGCCAAGGGCCAAACGAGTCATGCGTCATACGGAAGGACATCTGTTGCCCTTTTCCCACAGCCGTTAGCGCACCCCTGCTCTCTGTCACTCTTACCATTCTCCGACTCGCTTCAACGTGTACGTCCCTCTCGCTCTTTTCATTTGCCATATCCTTTCGATTGAAAGGGGGGAGAAAATGGTTCCGAACCGTTGGTAACGAAACCCCATTGAACTTGCTACGTTCACTAAAATCGAACCCCGCAACAGAAATTCCTTCTATCGACTATAGTTAAAATATTCACGGTGAACAAGTGGACAAATTTTTGGATGAAATTAACAAATTTCAAATCGTTCTAAAAAAATTATTTTCGGTTGCAGGGATCAATTACAGTCATTTTTGGTGAATAGACATACCCCCGAATTCCTACGCAGTTTCGAGAAAAAAATTCGAGAAAATGCGAAATTTTTCGACCAAATTAAGAAGTTTCAAATCATTCTGGAAAAATTATTTTCGGTTCCGGGGGGCAATTATAATCATTTTTGGTCATTACACGTACCCTCGAAATCCTACGCAGTTTCTAGAAAAAAATTCGAGAATGTGTGAAATTTTTCGACGAAAAAAAAAAATTAAAATCGTTCTAGAAAAATTATTTTCGGTTGCGGGGGTCAATTACAATCACTTTTGGTCAATAAGCATACCCTCGAAATCCTACGCAGTTTCGAGAAAAAAAATCGAGAAGGTGCGAAATTTTTCGACCAAATTAAAAAGTTTCAAATCATTCTGGAAAAATTATTTTCGTTTGCGGGGGTCAATTACAATCATTTTTGGTCATTACACATACCCCCGAATTCCTACTCATTTTCTAGAAAAAAATTCGAGAAGGTGTGAAATTTTTCGACGAAAAAAAAAATTTCAAATCGTTCTGAAAAAATTATTTTCGTTTGCAGGGTTCAATTACAATGATTTTTGGTGGATAGACATACCCCCGAATTCCTACCCATTTTCCAGAAAAAAATTCGAGAAGGTGTGAAATTTTTCGACGAAAAAAAAAATTTCGAATCGTTCTGAAAAAATTATTTTCGTTTGCAGGGTTCAATTACAATGATTTTTGGTGGATAGACATACCCCCAAATTCCTACCCATTTTCGAGAAAAAAATTCCTTACCGAAAATCTAATGTGTGTACTTTAATTTTCTGTCTCACTTTCTCTTGCGTTCGTTTCTGTAATCTGTTGGTAATGTTGCGAGTGAAAAATGGGCCGAAAAAATACATTGGATGTAGGATCTATTCGTATACTTCGTCTGTGGTCACAGCTTCCGTCGAAATGTGACTATTTTTTGGTACTAGACAAACGATGCCAAAATAGTGATACATGTTTTATTAAAGGCACGTCTCTTGTATTTTTCGTTTTTAATTTTGACTATTAGAAATGTACTGATATTGTTTGTTCATGGATAGAGTCTTTAAACGAAAAGGAAAAGTTCATAGTGCCACTAGATAAATCTCAACTTCCGATTGGTACGGTACGATTGGATGTTCAAGTTGATCGATGATGCATCGTCATTACTCCAACATAGTTACCGTAGTACGACAAAGTTTCTTTTTGCAACTTGTACATGTACTTCGACAGTTAATATCTCAACATGACTGTCAAATATTTATGCAGACGTTGCATCGAGTCGTGACGCTAGTCCATCACATATGCATCTTGTCTGTGATTTCGTGTTGCATAACAGTGAACTAGCGCCATCGAACAGCAGAGCATTTGAATTACGTAGCCAACGATACATCGAATTTTCAAGCTCGGACGAGTTAGACGATATTGAAATAACCGGTAGCGCTTGCATTAATACTGCCGTTAGGCCTTTATCTTTTTGACCCCCTTTATATCACAAAGTAAAGTATTCTACAAGACAGTATGATGCAAGCTAATTTTTGGAATATAGTGACTGCCTCTGTCAGAGTAAGTTTTTCAGAAAAAATATCTAGTAATAGATGCCCGCGGGTGTATCACGGTCACGTATTATACCATTCATTTTAATCTATTTCGTAACATTTTGAAGGACAAACGATTTTGCCTCACATTTCTTGTGTCGCTCGATTGCTAGCTTTTATCATCGTTCCCTCGTTTCGTTTAAATATTCGTCAAGGTTTTTAAACGATCACTGTACATTCTTAAATTCATCGTTACGCGTGAAAGCATAGTTTTTTAATTCGTTGGTTATGTCACCTTCATTTTTTTTCTTAGGTATATAGATGATGCGAGATGAGATTTCGTTTCCGGGTATAAATTTCTTTTATTCCTCTTTTTAGCAGCCAATATGCGTCAAGCGTGTTGTACCTGGCTTGACAGCTGCACAGCAACGCAACTACTCCAGCACAGTGGAAGCAGACATTGTGGTAATAGGTGCAGGACCTGGTGGCTATGTAGCAGCAATTAAGGCTGCGCAATTAGGAATGAAAACCGTCTGTGTGGAAAAGAATGAAACATTGGGTGGCACCTGTCTCAATGTTGGATGCATTCCGTCGAAATCTCTGTTAAATAATTCACATTACTATCACATGGCGCATGGTGGAGACTTAAAAAATCGTGGTATCATAGGTACATTATCTATCTCTGTTACGACACTTAACTATTCCAAAGGAAAGATCATATATCTATATTTTCTTATTTCAGTCGAAAATGTTAAACTTAATCTTGACAAGCTAATGGAACAAAAGCGTAACGTAGTGAAAGCTTTAACGAGTGGTATCGCCGGTCTCTTTAAGAAGAACAAAGTCGAATGGGCTAAAGGCCATGGAAAAATTACCGGTCCTAATCAAGTGACCGTACTTGGTCCAGATGGGTCAGTGTTAAGCACAATTAATAGTAAAAACATTTTAATTGCAACTGGCAGTGAAGTGACACCGTTCCCTGGTATAGAAATCGATGAGAAACAAGTTGTCTCTTCTACCGGTGCTTTATCCCTGACACAGGTACCTAAGAGACTCCTAGTAATCGGTGCTGGGGTCATCGGGATGGAATTAGGCTCTGTCTGGCAAAGGTAATCGTTCTATTAATATTTAATTATCCCTATAACATTGTTCATTTTTATTTAATTCTGGTTTCAGGTTGGGCGCGGATGTAACGGCCGTTGAATACGCGCCGTACATCGGCGGAGCAAGTATCGACGGTGAAGTTAGTCAAACGTTACAAAAAATTCTAAGCAAACAGGGTGTGGGTTTTAAAATGGGAACGAAAGTCACTGGCGCCTCGCGAACGGGCGGCGAAATTGTAGTTTCGGTCGAGAGTGCAAAAGATCCTAGTAAAAAAGAGAGTCTGGCGTGCGATGTTCTTTTACTATCCGTCGGTAGGCGGCCGTACACGAATAATTTAGGACTAGAAGATATGGGAATTGAGAGGGACGAGAAGGGCAGGATTCCCGTAAATAACAGATTCCAAACAGTAGTACCTTCGTAAGTAAATGTTACAAATTTTCTAGTGATTTTTTCAATACCAAATATTAAATTATTTTCATGCAGGATATTCGCGATTGGGGATTGCATTCATGGACCAATGTTGGCACACAAGGCAGAGGAAGAGGGTGTGATTACGGTTGAGGGCATCACTGGAGGTATTCGATATATCTGATAATGTTATGCTTCTAACGCGGAACGCAATATCTATTGTGTTAATATATTATTCTCGTTCAGGCGCCGTTCATATCGATTACAATTGCGTACCCAGTGTAATATACACGCATCCCGAGGTTGGCTGGGTAGGCAAAACGGAAGAGGACTTGAAGAAGGAGGGTGTCGACTACAAAGTTGGCAAATTCCCCTATTTGGCGAATTCTAGAGCAAAGACGAATTTAGACACGGAGGGCTTTGTAAAAGTACTAGCGGATAGCAAAACGGATAAAATATTAGGCGTTCATATGATCGGCGCGGTCGCTGGTGAACTTATTAACGAGGCTGTTCTGGCCATGGAGTACGGAGCAAGCGCAGAAGACGTTGCGAGAACATGTCACGCGCATCCGGTAGGTACTCGAACGAAATTCGATCTAGATCGTAGATTATAAGCGATATATAATATTGTTATTATTTTAAGACGTGCGCCGAGGCTTTGAAGGAAGCTAACTTGGCTGCGTACTTTGGAAAGCCCATCAACTTCTAAATACTTCACCGCAAAATTCAAGAGAGATTTATGAACTTTGACTCATCGTAGCTTCGATCTAGTCTACGTCCCCATGTCACGTTGCGTTACACATTTAGCGCAAAGTTTCAACATCGCTTAATAACATAAGAAAAGTTGTAAATAAAAGTCTAAGGCAATTTACGAATGTATCGATCCTTTTATATTAGGTTTACCTTTGTTTTGTGATTAATGTATTTATTTTAAATAAATTAATGTTCGACCACAAGCGTATTCGATAACCGTACGTTCTGTGAACTGTACAACCTTGCAACGCGTTCAATATCACGCTGTCGATGTTTCTATGCTCGATTTCATAAAGACCGGGTGAAATCGTTACGAGATTTGAAATTTAGTTCTCCATATGTAAACGATAATCGAATGGTGTGTGAAACGGTAGAAAATTGTAAGGTTCCAAAGGGACAAATTTTCTACGATTCTGAATCAGTGCGCTGGATGAGTACGGTCCTGGCGAGCACGTGACTTGCGCAGCGACGGCAGGGTTGCCGGCAGTCGACCGCGGCTCGTCGCAGCCAACGGCAACGTTGCTCGCCGCGCAGAGAAAGAGAGCCGTAAGGGTGGCACTTGTGCGGCAATACACACCCAATGTTTGTGTTTTCGAATTTTTCGTGATACCGAGAGAGTGGTTCGTGATCGTTTGGCAAGGCATGTAGCGCCGTCGTCGAGCCGCTCGAGATGTGGACGACCACGAAAACGACCAAATACGGCGTCGGTGAGTTCTCGTAGGCGTTCCGTTCCCTCGTTACGTTTCTTCTCTCGTTATTAACGCGCGCGGTAAGGACCCCCGGCGGATCTGTCAAACTCCGTCCCGTTCTGTCAGCGCGACTCGATCTTCAACGAACGTTCGAGGATCCGTCGTGACACGAACGAGACCGCGGCGCCCGAACGGGGCACGCACGATGCCCGTCGTGCACCGGAAATCCTTGTGTCAATGATTTTAACGACCGTCTTGAGATCTTTCGGCTGCACGCCGCCTTAATACGCTCCGGCCCGCGATGCTGCCACCAGAGACGTCGTGTCGTGTCTCTACGCGTAACCGTAACCGTATGCGTGCGCGCGTGTGACTCGACTCACCCATTCATGCATCGATCGTGTGCACAAGTACAGTAACCACGAGTCCCATAAAAAGAGAAGCAACGCTGGACCGGCGTGCCATTAGGCTTCTGGTCTCGCGTCTGCCGATGTTGTCAATATTGGTGCACGCGTGCACGTTCCACGATCTTCTTCGAAACTTGGCCCATCGAACACCCCCGCGAGTATCCCTCGATACCCATACCCCTTACAAACTCCACGCGCGGTTCACGACCGAAATTCCAAGATCGAAGACCCCCTTTTCTTGGGCTTATCGATTCCCTCGTTAATACGATTACGCGTTATTCGACCGGTTCCTTCGACTCGGTCAGCTGATCCCTCTTTAATGGCGAACCGTATCTCGGTCCAGAGCATCCCCGAATTATATCCGTTTTAAGTTCTCTGCTTTTACTCTTCTTTTACGCTTCTATTGTGCAGAAATTTTTAATTGAAAATGAGAATAGAAATGTATATAAATAAATTAAAAATTCCCGAAGATACACTATACGTAACGAGTCAGAAAAGTTTACACCGTTCGACATCGATTGAGCACGTCGAACGACTGATCGGATTCCAAGTCAACGACGTAAAAAAACGTGTCACAAAAGCGATCAGCCTTCGAGGCCGCGTTTTTGAACAACCTTCGAGCACGAGTTTCACGCATCTCGCGATTAAAGCTACGTCGTTGCATTCCGAACTTGTGCGTTACGATTCCTGCGGAATCATCGCGAAATTTTTCCGGGGGAAAATAGTTGGATAAATTTCGCTGACATTTAGGTTATTCTAGGTTAGAACGAAATGAATCGAGGGTCGGTAACGTTTCATAAATAGCATGCAAGTATAAAGATGCAGTATCTTAGATTATGCAGATTGAAATATTCAGCTACTGTAAATCCAGACATTATATTTATAGATTCTGATTAGGCGGATAGCGGTGATGTGTTAGGAAACAGGCTATGTCAACTAACACGGGATATCTAACCATAGTCGTCCATAAAAAAAGATGTTGCATTTTTTAAATATAAATAAGAAAAAAGTCAAGTAAAAGCGTGGTTTAATGACACAAATTCTTAAAAGATGTTAGGAAGGCCCATTTCTCGATGCTAACGATTTATAGCGTTCGTGCGATCCTGTCCGAAACGGAGGGAACTTTCTAGCCGAGCAAAAGTACATCGACAGTGGTCACCGAGGCGGATATAGTGTGTCAATAAAGCAATTTCGGTGCGAGCAGCGTCGGCCATTGCGATTAAGCCATAATCTTTCAATCTATCTGTCCACGGCGTTATCTGCACGGCTCTGTTCTCGCGCATTGTTTGTCTCACCGATTACAAACTGGTGAATCATTCTAGCTCGTCGCGGCGCTCGCCGCGCTGCAATTGCAGATTCCGATTTCGAATTCGCGGATTCGACGCTCAGCCGGATGTTTCGTCACCGCGCCCACGCTCATTTTCCCATTCTCGTATCGCGTTCAGTTTTTCCGAGCACCCAGCGATAGAGCTGTTCGAACCTCGACTTTGAAATGGTTCCAAGTTTTTGAGACGATTTTCTTTCAATTTCAAGACTGGTTCTATGCTGGAAGTAATATTATTGGAACAGTGAAAGATAGGACCGTGCATTCTACTCGTCTCAACGACAAAGAAAGATTCTACAGACTTCCGTTCGATTTCTTATTTGCAGCGGAACGCAGGGAAAAGATTAGGCCAGACTTTCCTCTAGCCTTCCTTTACAAAGGAATCTCTAAGAATGGGTCGATGTCTCGCCGTCTTTTAAAATATTCACGAACTGTGCCGAATTACGTCTCGTGAATTTCAGTATAAAGAGTCTCCAAACACCGACAGAAATATTTTTACCATCGAAGGATTTAAGTCGATAAAATTTGCAGGTTATGTTCTGTTAAAAGACACCTTCTGGTCGAAATAGACATTCATAAAACTGTTAGAGACAGCGTTAAATAATAACCTGTCGATCGTAAAGGTCGTCCTTTCGTTCGAAGTCTGTGTAACATAACGACTGTTCGATTAATTTAATCTGACGCAAGCAGCGTCTGTGCACCGTGAATAGAATAACAATTACTCGAGCAGCGAAAATAATTATCTTCGAAGGTTCAAAATATTGCTGCTTTTCTGTTTCGTTGGTGGCCTGTGTCCAAAGATGGACGCGTTATCGCGCGAGCGATCGTTTGACGATTCACACAATGCTTCTACGAGTCGAAGGAAATCTGATCGTTTATTGCGAACGCGTATCACGTGTTACGATAATCGCGCTGCACGGCAAACTTGTAAATTATCTGCAAGGACGCGCGAGTTTTCCATAACCTTACATTTCGGTTCGATTTCAGAAAAGTACACGAGGACAAAACTCCCGACACATTTTCTATTAATTTACGATTTATGTAAATCGGGGACAAACTTGCCGCGTTATTTCGTTGATTCCTGTACGTTCCTGTTTGTTCCCGCCGATTGCAGTACGTTCCCGCCAATTCCAGTCCGTTCCTGTCCGTTCCTGAGATGATCTTCATAACCTTGTAGGATAAAACGAATAAAAATATCTTGGAAACAATCGATATATTCATCTTGGTTCGTTTTCGTAAAAATTTGACTTGAACGCGACACGATTGGCCCGAACGAGATCGTACACCCGACCCAGCATCGAAATTATCGCCGTGGAGAATCTCGAAAGGCACAGACCGTATCTCGGATTTTCTCTAGCACGATCACGGTGCCTCTGGAATTGGAATATGGTACGTGGCTCGAGAAGCTCCTGCAAGCAAGACGCCCGCCTATCGATTTTTTTGTCGACTTTTACAGCGGTCGTTCTACCAATCGTTTCTTTGCTTCTACCCATTATAAAATGCTCGTGCTCGTAATCCGATCGTTACGATCACTTTCAGCTTGCAGTTATCTACCTTTTTAAAAATATAAATTTTCGTTACGAAGGTCTGAATTAGGTTACGTTTACGTTTACAACCGGCTAGTTGGTTGTAAGATGGAAAATGCAAGAGGAGAAAAGATTTAACGGTCTTTTTTGGGTAAAAGTCGAGAAGCAGAATCTTTCGACCCTTCTAAACGCGCTTGGGCGAGAACTTTTACGAAGAGGGTGAAGTTCGATCGGTAACAGGCGGCGGGATGATTTCAGATGTCATTGTTTACGGTTCCTTCGGGGTCCCATCCCCGTTTTTGTGCCCAGCACCCCAAAGGCATTATCGCCCTTCTGTCGTTAAACCCCCCCCGCTGCTCGTAAGGCATTTTCACGCGGTCGAAACCACCGTGTGTGCATTCTTCTATGGACCGATTCGAATCGAAAATCGTTCGTCATTGTACTTTCGTTGAAAATGGAATTTATAAGAAAAATACCAACAACAATAATAATAATAATAATTAGGAACTGATAAAACAATGATTAGAACTACAGGACATTATCGCGTGACCCCATGATTCCTCGAGCAAGTGTGATCGATTATATAATTGTATTTTAAATAAAGGGTAGAACGCGCGTTAGCATATCGCGATCGTGTCACGACATTGTACGCCGAAAACAGTCGATTAGCCACGGTCATTTACCGCGTATCTGTTCCCGATCTCGTTTCGTTCCTTCGTTTATGCACGCACGCGTTCCCTTTCCGCAATGCTCCCAGTTTTCCCTTTCCTTTCGACGAACACGTCTTCCACGCCTTCTTCCCGCTGTCCTTTTTTTTCCATGTCGAAGAAATTAATCTTGATCAAATACCAGTTTAATTCGTTGGTTTTATTTAACCTAAAATGTATTGCGTCGGTCAGGAGTCCGTGTTTCACTTCTTCGTCGTCAATTTCGTCTCGTTTTATTGCTCTGGAAACTGTGCCAGAGATCACGGTTCGTTTGCCACGTCCGACCGAATCTACGAGCAACCTAACCTAACTCGCTCGATACTCCCCCGCCGAATCTGAGAGACGAAATTTCTACAGCCAGGAGTCGACGAATAATAACGTCGAATAAATTTTCACGGTATATCGTATCGATTGAGAGTCGAAGAAAAATCTCGTAATCGAGTTTTGTCACCGGAATTATCGAACGGAGAAAGCTGCTACGGGTAGACGAGATACAGGGAGAGAACCGTAATTTCCCTGTGTCAGTCGCACCGATAGAATATCCGCTCCCCCATTGCGAATGTTTTACACGGGAGAAAAGGGGGTTATCGATTTAATTCCCCGGGAAAACTTGCGAGGGGAAAACTCTATGGGCTTTCGGGCGCGAAGGTTTCGACGTCTGGCTTTGTTCGGCTCCGTCGATACCGAGAAAATTCCCGTTTTCTTCGTTCCGTTTTTTACGATCGCGTAAATAAATTTGCTCGACGGTTTCTCGCGGGGAATATAGAGCAGACGAATACTTCTTTGTTCCTAACCTCTATCGGTTCGTCGTTTATTCGCAACGAGACTCTTTTTTTTCCGTCTCGCGACGACTCGCCTTGGATAATTGACCGACTGCTGTCCCCGTCGGTTCTTGGAACTGGCTGGCCGCTCGTCCCAGAGGACAAGTATGTTTATGTTTTTAAATCGACCGTGAGCTTCGACGCGTCGTGTTACGCGTCGCTGTTTTATTCGAATTCTTTCTGTAAAAAGAGACAGCACAGGATTTCCTAGAAGATCGACCTCCCTTTGGTCAGTCTCGGTCTCGAACGTCTGGCATCCAAGGCCCTCTGTATTTACTTACAAGGAGAGCTCGCATTTGTGGGGGTTATCGATTTTTCTTCGCGCTTTGCAACACCAACGATAGAATGTGCAGGCTTATAGGTGTTTCTCTGTTTCACTTGTGACGTAGAATGCAATCAGATCTAGTCTTGCACTGTTTTTTCTTCAAGAAGCTCGTTGATTAAAAGTCAAACGCCTCGAGTGCCTAATCGGATAGCACATTATTATCAGGCCGAAATTCAAAGCCTCGTCTTATCGTAACCGGCTACCAGCGATAACATTCATGTCACACTCGTGTCCCGATAATCGACGTTCTACTGCATCTGTAAATTGCGATACGCATCGATCAAATCACATTAAAGCGACAATTTGCTCCCTTATCGTACGATCCTCGTAAGAACGACGAACGAATTCGTTCGAGGGAATGAACGCACGTATCTCTAAATTAACGACTCGCCTCGCAGTATCTGCGCGAGTTGTCTCTGGTGGAAGGACAGTGGGCGAATAAACGCGTGTAACATACATTCCGTGGCTGATCGCGTCGGTTTGAGGCGCGCTCGCGCGTTCCACGCTCATTCGGATGCGTATCGCGTGCGTTTCTCCGCCGGAGGACCGGAAGCTGGCTCGTCGCGCGTGCATCGTCACGCGTATCCGGCGCCCCCGAGTTCGTTTATCGAGACCTGACACTTCCACGAAAGGACACGCACCCGATCCTCTTTTCTGTCTTCGACCGTTTACGAGATACTTATTATACAGGGTGTTCGGCCACCCCTGGGAAAAATTTTAATGGGATATTCTAAGACGAAAATCAATAATACCAATTTGTTGATGGAGGCTTCGTTAAGAAGTTATTAATGTTTAAAGTTCCATTCGTTCTGAATTTTTTTCTAGAAAGTGGGTAGGATTTCGGGGGTATGTCTAATCACCAAAAATGATTGTAATTGATCCCCGCAAACGAAAATAATTTTTCCAAAACGATTTGGAATTTTTTAATTTTATCGAAAAATGTCGTACCTTCTCGAATTTTTTTCTCGAAAGTGGGTAGGATTTCGAGGGTATGTGTAATGACCAAAAATGATTATAATTGACCCCCGGAGCCGAAAATAATTTTTTTAGAACGATTGGAAATTATTTTTTTTCGTCGAAAAATTTCACATCTTCACGAATTTTTTTCTTGAAACTGCGCAGGATTTCGAGGGTATGTGTAATGACCAAAAATGATTACAATTGACCCCCGGAACTAAAAATAATTTTTCCAGAATGATTTGAAACTTTTTAATTTGGTCGAAAAATTTCAGAACTTCTCGAATTTTTTTCTCGAAACTGCGTATGTATTCGAGGGTATGTCTATCCACCAAAAATGATTCTAATTGACCCCTGCGACTAAAAATAATTTTTCCAGAACGATTTGAAATTTTCGAATTTAATTGTTAATAGCATTTTAACGAAGCCTCCATCAAGAAATTGCTATTCTTGATTTTCGTGTTATTTTGGCCTCTAGAATACCCCATTAACACCCTGTATTTAATATTCGCAATGGACGTTTGCTTCCTTTTCGCTGGGCCATCCGCGACCCAAGTCATAATATTTAATATTTCACGGGGAGGCCTGGTCTTGACTAGATCGGTTCTCGCCCCCGGTTTAGGTAGGATGCATCCGTGGATCTAAAATAGCGGTATTTTGTCTTGTTTTCACAGCCGTTTACAATTGGCGCGGCGACACCCGATATGGCCTCCCGTTGGAGATCGGCGAGACCGTGCAGATTTTGGAGGAATGCGCAGGTAAAGGAACGGCCGAGCATCGACGGTCCCGGACACGGTCCACCGAGTCCCAGGGAGCTGAATCGATCTCGATGTTCGTTGCAGGATGGTACAGGGGCTTTTCGACCAAGAACCGCGCGGTAAAAGGGATCTTCCCGAGCTCTTACGTCCACCTGAAACCCTGCAAGATCGAGAACGAAGGTCTGTTCGAGTCGGTGATACCGTTGGAGGATCCGGTGGTCCGAGAAGTCACCCTCGTTCTCCGGGAATGGGGTGGTATTTGGAAGAGGCTCTACGCGGTGAGTGTGCTCCCCCGATACACAATGCCTGTTGTCGTCTGGCTCGGGCCTTTCCGCCCGGCGACGGCGGATAAATGGTTCGTCGTTTCGCGACACACTTTCTCGTTATGAAAAAAACGCAGTTCCCGGGAGAGAGAGAAAAGAAAAAAAAAAAAAAAAAGAAAGAAAGAAATAGAAAGGGAAACGGAGCGTCGAGACTCGTTTCGAGAGTGAATTTTTAATCATCCCCGTGAGTCTCGGCGCGCTCCACTGCGTGCAATTACGCGATGGAAAAGATCGTTTGGGAAGCATCGCCGTGAACAATTAATTCATAGTCGCGAGAGGATTTCTCGTCGACGGTGAGAGAATTAGGTGCAGGACGAATGATCGTGGTACCACCGGCTGCGGAGCGTCCCTTCTCGCGATTCGACTTTGCTTTCTGCTTCCTGTTGCGTTTTATATGTATATTTTTATTCTCAAGAACGAACCGCACGAGTCGTCGGCAACAGCGACGTCCGACGGACGGTCCTCGACTGAGACGCCCCCGTGCGGCGAAAAACTTTCTAGACTTATCTTTCCGTGGACAATCAGATCCAGCATCCGGTCGTAACACGATTTTACCCCCGCGGCCTTGCGCCTAGTTACCAACTAATTCGAAACGTTTCCGATTGCTCGTCGTGTCCAGGAGAGAGAGAATTACAAATTCACCGCGCTGCGCAAGGTGATGAGAGAACTGTTGGAATGGCGGCGACAACTTTTGGCTGGCACCCTCACCACCGATCAGACGCGAGAACTCAAGCTACGAATCATCAACAAGGTGGACTGGGGAAACCGGTAAGTTTCGAATTGAGAACGATAACGATGACAACAGCCGATACTGTTCGAATAAAAACCGAAATGCTATCGAGTCAGTCTCATTAAACGGAACGCAACAACCGATACGCAACTAACATTAATACTAATATTTATACTAGCCAATCTAATTAATTTTCATTCCACGTTAGAATTCAGCTGTAAATGGCCGCTGTTTTAGAGGGAATAGAACCCTGAGAAAAATTTTAATGAGGGATTCCAGAGGCCAAAATAAGACGAAAATCAAGAACACCAATTTGTTGATCGAGGCTTCGTTAAAAAGTTATTAACAATTAAATTCAAAAATTTCAAATCGTTCTGGAAAAATTATTTTCGGTTGCGGGGATCAATTATAATCATTTTTGGTCAGTAAACATACCCTCGAAATCCTACGCAGTTTTGAAAAAAAAATTCGAGGTGTGAAATTTTACGACGAAAAAAAAAATTTCGAATCGTTCTAGAAAAATTATTTTCGGTCCGGGGGTCAATTACAATCAATTTTGATGAATAGACGTACCCCCGAAATCTTGCGCATTTTCGAGAAAAAAATTCGAGAAAGTGCGAAATTTTACGACGGATAAAAAATTTCAAATCGTTTTGGAAAAATTATTTTCGATTCCGGGGGTCAATTACAAACAATTTTGATGAATAGATGTACCCCAGAAATCTTGCGCATTTTCGAGAAAAAAATTCAGAACGAATGGAACTTTAAATGTTAATAACTTTTTAACAAAGCCTCCATCGATAAATTGATATTCTTGATTTTCGTCTTATTTTGGCCTCTAGAATCCCCCATTAAAATTTTTCCCAGGGTTGGCCGAACACCCTTAACGAATACTTAAGGAGCCGAATCAATAACTAAAAAATATCATATTTTAGTACGTGGATTCAACTCGCTAAGTGTTTTTATGTATTTTTGCATCACCTTGTGCAGTTTTCGGTACATCGGTGAATTTGCATTCGAGCGCAATACTCGACTATGCGTATATTTAATGGAATTCATTGAACGATTACGAACTTCCTCCTATCGTGGCTTGCTTCGAGTTGAACTCGCTGAGAAATAGCACGGGGACGGGAATTACCGATCGTTTTAGTCCGATTCGCTCGAATAACGTACAGACCGACGCGTCGAATACAAAGAGTATACTTTATTCTATAGTTCGTTTTTCTTTTGTCTTTCTCTTGCCTCCATTTATATCTAACGTTGCACGTATTAGCAGTCTTCGTCTTGACTTCGGCGCAATCCTTACAAATGAGCATTTTTTACTTTTATTCTGTTAAACATCTTAAAGGTTTTTAAACGCTATAAAGTAGTCGGGGGTATCCTAGGAAGAAGGCACATATTGCGAACAATCGTTACAACTATATCATCCGTCTCGTTCGTCTTAAACTAAGTCTATCTTAATATATCACTTGAAACGCGACTAATAGTAATAATAATAATATAACGAATCGTACGTACTACAAAAAAAAAAAAGAAAACTACAAAATAGTCATAGTGTTATTGTCGTAGGGTTGTCATTGTATACTTAGCGGCAGCATTGTGTCATTCTTTCGAACAATCTGGGAAAAAAATAGAACGCGAGCAACGAGCATCTCCGCTGATAAGGACGCGTCATCAGCGTTGCAATAAATTTCATTTTCATCGACGATCAATTATCCAAAGACGCACGGTTCTGATCTATCAAAATATTTGGATCCAATCTTTCACGGATAGCCACGTACGTTCAACTGTACGACTCTTTATACAATTTAAGTAGAAACGTGGATTTACTAGCAAGCGCCAGTAAAATGTTCAACGACACGACGAGAATGTAATCGTTGAACGTCTCCACCGTACGTATTCTAACATCTCGCGATAAACTATCGACGAATATTGCTGCGGACAATTAGGACGTGTCCCCGAATCTAATTCTTACAATGAAATTTAACGTAACATTTTTTCTAACGATAATTGCACCAATTACTACGCGCAGACATCGAGACGTAAATAATCACGAACGAATTCGGATTTCGTTCCTCTCCCTGTTCGCTAAATTTACTTTAGGTACATATGGATGCAGAATATAATGCGTGGTACTTTCGTATCGGTATTTGGTCCTTTACGCGTATCGTTGATCGTTGTTTCGGTAATTAAATATATCGATACCCCAGGCATAAGAACGAGCATTGAACAAAAGAATGGCAAGAATTCTGCATCGACGTACTGTGCGTTCGTATCATTTCTCAACGATGCGTCGCGTCGGGACGGCCGACGATAGCGTAAAAAGCTTTCTCGCGAAACCGACGGTGCGCGATTCACCTTCGGTGTTATCACAATACGGAAGGGGAAGGAGGGGGGGGAGAAAAAATGGCGAATGGAAAGAGTCACTGAGGGAGTGGTGGGGGATTAGATCTCGGTGTCTTTCGCGTACTTCTCGATCTCCGGGTAGATGGGCGACATCTCGAGGGTGCTGGGCGCCGAGGGCATCGACGTGGGGGACGCCCCGCTCGCGGAACCGAGGGGCATGTGACGGCACAGCTCGTCCAGCACCTCGTTGAACATCATCATGTTCATGTTCTGGCCCAGCAGGTGAAGCAACAGGAAATCGCCGACCTGAAAATTTACAAACGAATAAGAACCGATGTATGGACGCCGCCATGTTGCGTCGTCGAAAGTTCTAAGAAATTCCTTTTTGTTATCAGCGTTGATCGAGAGATGAATAAAATAAAATGCGTGGGAGTCTGATGGTGTCCACCCTGTGACCTGAAACGTGAATATATTTTTATCTCCGCGAGCACCACGCCCCCTACCTGCGTTTCTCTGATGAGGGCGTTGACGCCAGCGGCGGGGCCGAATTTGAACCGTTTCCTGAGTATCGTTTCCCGCGTGCTGGGCAGCAGCACCATGGCCATGCTGTAGAGCAAAGCGGTGCCGGTCAGCACGGCCAGGAGAATGAACCAGAACCACAGAAATATGTAAATCTTCTCGTTGAGGATGTTCAGGGCGAGGACACAGAGGGCGTCCAGTTTCTGAATGGTACCGGAAGCACCGAATTTGTGGAAGGTGCATTTCGTGACGCGCGGGAACACCTCGACCATGGGGTCGCTGCGTTGCTCCTGATTCATGTTGCTGAACTTCAGCACGTCGGTACCATAAGTCAGAAACGCGCCGCCCAGGAACGAGTCGATGAAGAATATGTTTCCCACCTAAAAAGAAACTGGGTGTTAACGTATACAGAGTAGTCGGGTAGGCAGTATTAAGTAAATGGTGAGTATATTGAAAAAAGTTGTACATAAAAATAAATTCACGTACGCCATGATGTTAGGAATGAGAGAAATAGAATACTTTGTAGCTTATACTGGTAGATAGTAAACTCGAACCGTAAAAGGACCAGGTTCTGAGGATGAAGAAGACCCCGACTTGCCGTCTGAGAAGCAGACGCAGCAAAGTCGGGGAGTATTATTAAAGGCTCACGGGTTTTACGATCGGCCCCGTAAACGGGAACGTCTTATCGGAGATAACCACGCACCACGTTGACGAAGTTGAGAGCCTCGCAGAAGAAGTAGCCCGCCGCGTATGTATTGTGCAGGTGCATAGTGTCGGCGATGTACTTGACCAGTCGTTGGGACTTTGCCTGTCGTTCCTCCTTGTTATCGACCATGACTCCCCTCATGCCTTCGGATATCATTCTGACCTTGCCCTCTTCCCACTGCTTCCATATCCAGTGCGGTACGTAGAACAGAACACCTTGGAAGAACAGCATGAACGGCACCCATTGATAATACGAGTGGTACCTCTTCTCGCCGAGGTCGCCGCCTAACCCGGGATGAGCCACGTGGGTACCCACGGGCTTCGCGTTGTTGCTCGGCAGCGTGAAGGTGTACGTGATCCAGCAGTACGTGTTTATCACGTTTTCAGCCACCGCTCCGTCGCTCAGGCAGTTTATCGGATCGCCTGCAAGCATTTTAGATATTATTCAGTTAAGCTCACGGTCGCCTCGTTCCCAGGGGCTTTTTAACCCCTTACCTTACGATTTCAGTTACGACAACTGTATGCCCGTGAACGACAAGGTCGATTAAAAAACTCAGAACTCGAGACAAAATAACAAACGACGTTTTTAAGCTGTGGGAATTTTTCAGACGATTCTCGTATCATATTACAGTGGGGGATGGGTCGTCGACGCTCGAAAGCGAAGTCGAAGTAGAGAGGTAGACCGTGCGTCTCTTTTTTTCCAAGAATGTGAGCGACAGAAAGAAACACGAGACATCGATGTCTTACAGTAGATTTAAAAACATAAATATAATGGAACTGTTCTAAGGCATAGGGGTGACAATTGTAATTTATAATATTGCACTTTGTCGATGCACCTTTAAAAATCGTAGATTTAACGTGAAACTGCTTAAACAATGTGTTTAGGGAATTTGTAACTCGAATAGCGAGTCGAGTAGTGGAAAAGTTAGGGTGCCGGATGGTGGTCGCACGCGTACTAGAAGCGGGAACGGTGCTTTGGCGTTCCCTTTCGTTCGCCCAAACACGGCAGACATTAATGAACATTGTATCGTAAATTGACCTCGTTAAACAACAGGCTGGGTGTTATCGATTCGATTACAAGCACGACCGCGCGTTACATTATGCAACGGAACGACTCCCTATCGGCTAGAACATGAAACGCTCGTCGTTCGGCGCAGCTGGCGTACACGTTGTCACCAGTTGATTTAGTCTTCCAAGTCTCTAGTCTCCTTTCGCGCCATTGTGCGACATAAACGAAGAGATAAACTCAGATAGCTCCCCGCATCATTTTTTATGAATATACATATGCCCGAAATCCTACGCAGTTTCGAGAAAACAATTCGAGTGAGTGGACAGATTTTTCGACAAAATTAAGAAATTTCAAATCATTCTGGAAAAATTATTTTAGGTTGCACGGGTCAATTACAAACATTTTTGGTGGATAGACATACCCTCGAAATCCTACGCAGTTTCGAGAAAAAAATTCGAGTAGGTTGGCAGATTTTTCGGCAAAATTAAAAAATTTCAAATCGTTTCAAAAAAAATATTTTCGGGTGCAGGGGTCGATTACAGTCATTTTTGGTGGATAGACATACCCACGAAATTCTACGCAGTTTCGAGAAAAAAATTCGAGAAGGTTGGCAGATTTTTCGGCAAAATTAAAAAATTTCAAATCGTTTAAAAAAAAATATTTTCGGGTGCAGGGGTCGATTACAGTCATTTTTGGTGGATAGACATACCCTCGAAATCCTACGCGGTTTCGAGAAAAAAATTCGAGATGTTACAAAATTTTTCGACCAAATTGAAAAGTTTCAAATCATTCTGGAAAAATTATTTTTAGTTCCAGGGGTTGATTATAATCACTTTTGGTGAATAAGCATACCCTCGAAATCTTATTCACTGTCGAGAAAAAAATTCGAGAATATGTGATGTTTGATTTGAGGTTAGGAATCGTTCCCCGAAGTTTTATGCGAATGTGTAACGGGTTGGGGATTTCTTTTTGTATCAATAAAAAGACAGAGTACTAAAATTTCCATTGTAAAGCTATTATGCACGATTAAAATCATTTTTGTATTTTGTTCCGAGTCGTTGCGTTTACAAAATCGCTATCTTCCTTTGAAGCGAGATACGGAGAGGGAATTGTACCGGTTACGGGTGACCGATACAGCGCACGTTGTTGCATTAAACGCGACGACTGATAGGACGGTCGTAAACGGAAAGATGATAAACGCGTTTGTACACCGTCAGAAATCTCGTCTGGAGGCCTCCTGCGGCCTAGTCGAGCAGATGTAAAGCTGCGTCCCCACTGGATCGGCACGGCTCGGCATTTGCCGATAGCTGCGTCCCCACTGGGTCGGCACGGCTCGGCATTTGCCGATCGGCACAGCGTTCGGCAAAAGGCGGCACGGCCGTGCCACTGCTATGCACCGCGGCAAAGCCATTTCAGTACACAAAAAATGTACAGTGACGACGAAGTAATAACTGGTGCTGCTGCAGTTATAGTAATAGCAAATGCAAAAAAAATGCCTAAAAAACGAAGATTTTGGATGCGTCCGAGTTTACGTAGCAGAAGAATATACAGGGTGTTCGGCCACCTCTAGCAAAAATTTTAATGAGCGATAGTAGAGGCCAAAATAAGACGAAAATCAAGAATACTAATTTGTTGATGGAAGCTTTGTTAAAAAGTTATTAACAATTAAATTCAAAAATTTCAAATCGTTCTGGAAAAATTATTTTCGGTTGCGGGGGTCAACTACAATCATTTTTGGTGAGTACACATACCTCCGAAATCCTATCTACTTTCGAGAAAAAAAATCGAGTAGGTGCTGAAATTTTTCGGCGAAAAAAAATTTTTCAAATCGTTCTAAAAAAATTATTTTCGGTTGCGGGGATCAATTACAATCATTTTTTATCATTACACATACCTCCAAAATCGTACGCACTTTCGAGAAAAAAATTCCTTACTGAAAATCCAATTAGGTGTCTAAATTTTTCAACGGAGAAAAAAAATTGCAAATCGTTGTGTATAGCCATAAAACAGCTGTCAAACACGCGCGGCCACTCGTCGCGTCCTAATCCGGAGTCCCGTTTTTTCTTCGATAAATTAACGTAGCCTTCGACTTGGGGAGAAAACCTCGGGCACCCTCGTTCTGGGGGTGACCTGGAAGTCTTCCTCCACCACGTTCAGGTATGAGGAAAGAGTTTTCCTCCCAAACGGGGTGTGAAAATGGGTCCTCCTTCCCTTAGTCGATGACCAATCGGTCGAGCTAAAAGTTAATACCAAATTCGGTTGACACCCCCAAAATCGCGTATCGGAGGAAGAAACGGGCTCCGGAAACATCGACTATGCAAAAATATGGGCACGAGGAAAAAATCTTTCGCCTATGACCATATTTGGTTACAAGACGGGGCTTTATGGCCCTGCCTGGGCCTTTCAGAACTGGAGGTAGCAATCGTCGCGCTGTGAAATTTTCCGTTCGATCGCGAAAGAATACCAATTTGTTGATGGAGGCTTTGTTAAAAAGTTATTAACGTTTAAAGTTCCTGTATCTTTGTATCTCGATGATGGTTTTGGAACGAAATTGACATGAAACTTTCGTGCTCTCGTGTCTTGGCACGATCTCTTTTGATGGTTACCGACATCGTGCCGATCGACTCGTCGGCATGCCGGTCGGCTTTTCAAGCCATGCTATCCAAGACGATGCAGTGTTTGGCTTTGCCGAGAAGTACTTAGGGTGCCGATCGGCCGTGCTAGATGACAGATGCGGACGCAGTGTAGACGCAATTCTCGGCTTTTGCCGATCGGCCGTGCCGAACGGCAAAAGCCGACCCAGTGGGGACGCGGCTTAACGTTACGTCTGCCCGATAAATAAGCACGAGTCCTCGAAACGAGACACCGCGTTGTTACTGTAATCACGACCGTCTGCGCCCCACGTTGCGTTTATGCAACCGTCGATGGAACTCTGACCCATTGCACCGTCCACGCGTACGTCAGTTAAGAGGATCATGTTTCCTTGTTAATTCGCTCACGGAAGAAACAACCGCGACGGATAAGAATAGAACAATTATTTCGTGCAGCGTCGTCGTTTCGGTCGAGGTTGTTTAAAACCGGCTGAGATAAAATAACGTTTACCTATCAGATTGTTTGCGGAGACGATCATGCAACAGGCGAACAGAATCGCGGACGTGATCCTGTAATGGGCCCTGAAGATCATGTTATCGATTATCGCCTTGTCCACGAGGTATCGTACCTTGACGAACCCGGCCACAGCCGAGACCAAACCAAACACTGCCATTGCGTCCCTCGATTATGGCACCCCTGCAAACAACCAAACGATTAATACACCGCACGCTTAGGGATAGGGTCAGGGACGATTAGAGAACTTATTTACTTAGAGAAAGAAATTTTTCTATATAATTTTCTGAAACGATATCCGTGTGAAAATCATACGGATACAAAGTGTCTGCGTACGCGTTTGTCGGACAGTTGGACGGCCTGCGGATTGATGGATGCGCGGCTCCGCGCAACGACGGAGATGACAGCCGAGATTATAGCAATTAGCCCGATGAATTAACGTCCGCCTCGCTGGGAAATCGCCGGGTAATCCTTAATCGCGATCGAAACTGAAACCGAAACCGAAATCGTTGCGTCCGAGCCGGCGACGCGCGCGCATTTACATTCTCGTCGCGTAAGTCGATCGCGCGCGGTGAGTCAATGCACTTATTGGCGAGCAGAGAGGAACGTAGACGGTCGCGTTCAACGCCACATCTCAACCACCGCGTGCGTCTTATTAATTTCTATCGCGAATGGACGATACGTTGGTAAATTACGAATCGTCGAGTTTCGAAAGAAATCGAGACTTCCGGGGGTCGGCGAAGCCACCCGAGCGTGATGGAATCGAAATTTCGCGTTTCCGGCCGCTCGAGGAGAACCTCTTTACGGAACACTGGTAGTAACAGCCGGAAACGGCAGATGTACGCGGAGGATCGATACGGAGGCACACAGCCACGCTCTTCAGAGCACCGCGAATTGTTCTCACGACGAAACAAAAGGCTGGCCAAGAATGGCTGCTCCGAGCTACCCGGATTTCTCTGTGCCGTCGCCTTTTTGCCGGACCGCCAAAAGGAACGAACAAAATCCCATTTGCCGCGGCGAGCATATTCACCGTGTCGGTTACGATTATTTACAAGTATATTTTTGGTTACGTAACGGTCATTTATTTCGATGGAAAAGATTTTAGTTCGTGTTTTAACCGCGCGTCGCGAGAGCGCCATGAGCATCGGATACGAGGAGCTTATAAACCGAAATAGCCGAGTTGTGGGTCGTTAGAAGTTTATTAGTTAATTAACTGTACGGTGGATGGGGCGCGTGCCGTTGCAAGAGGGTCAATTTCTAAACGCGTGGGATTGCCAGCGTGAAACGCACACACACGGAGCTCTACGGTTCCCTGCCACGGTGCATGGAAATCGGTGGCGATCGCGCGACGCAACAGTTTGTCAAATCCGTAGAACTCGAGCCTCTTGGAAACGAAATCGTTGGAAAGCGTGGCACACTAACGGTGTTTGCCCGTGGTTTTAGCACGACTGCTTCGTAGACATTAATCGTTCGCACGTGACGCGAGGATGTCCAGCCACGGAGATTACGAAGCTGACCAGAGTCGAATTTCGTAACGTTTTATTTTCACGGGACACCGTTTGCACAGCGGTTGGAAGCGCCTAGCACGTTCGCAAGGAGATTGCGTGTAATTTCAGAGCATCGTATCTGTTGTGCGGTCGCTTCGACACAATGGACTATTTAAAACGATGTATGCGCAACGTCTGCCGTTTTATCATTCGATCATTCGATCATCGACGTCTTCCACGTTTAATATTCTTTCTCTACAAAATAAAAACGCGAAAAGAAAGGTTAGAATCGACACGGAATGTTTAACGAATGTTTCATTCAAATTTTACCGCGTGTATTTGATTTCCCGTGACAACGGTTTTACGGGGCTCCTTCGTTAGATGGTTTCTACGAAACATACGAGTCAAACCAGTTACTTGGCTGTTTCTCGAGAACTGCGAGAAGGGGACTGAGGAGAGTATGGAGGGAATGGACATTGACGACACGAGAGAAGAGAAGACGCGACGCTTTCTACCGAGAACTCTTACGATTACATTACGAAACATTGATAGAAATATTTATCTACGTTATCAATATTAACAGTCGTATTCTTCGCGCGGTAGCAATTTCTGATGTGAATCAAACGGTACACGGTATATTATTTATCGACGTAAATAGGAACGAATCGTATATGTAGCACGTTTCTCGAACGGTCGTCGATGATCGTATACCGGCTCCTGGCCGCGCTGGTAATCGACGGGTATCGAGTTTCGATTTTAAGGCACAGACCGGAATTCTGCGCAACCGCGAGGTACGATACGTTTTTTAGCGGTCCTGGCTCTCTCGCCACCGCAACGCACACCGATCTTCTGTACACGAATTACTCCTATCGGGTTACGGATGCAAAGAACAGGTTTCGGGATTGCACGACCCGACTACGAGCCGCTGGTTCGTTCCTTATTCGGTGAAATCTCGCGAGCTTGATTAATCTCACGCGTTTCCAACGTTATATGCATATGGATTGCTTTCTCCGAGTTTAATTCGTATAAAAATCGTAATATTTATTTCTCTGTGGATCGGGTTTCGTCGAGATCGTGAAAATTAAATTGTTCGGATTTCAATGAAACCGAACCGTGTTCCGGTTTCGCGCGTATCGCGTATTCCGTCTAACGCTCGCCACGCTCGAACGCAAACTTTTGATACGAGGATACCGGCAACGAATCTTCGCGATTCGCTTGGAACATAATACGCGGAAACTTCAGGGAACCGCGTACGAATCGATAATTCCAACTGTCACGTGATTTATGCGACTGTATGGCGGAGCTAACGAAGGATAATGCTGACTGCGAACCAAAGCGTTAACCACCGTCAGATTTATGCCTCTCTTCGGTCGTTCCCAACTCGAGGATAATGTTCCTCGTCGAAACCGGGGTATGGAATTTGCGTGTCTAGTCGTTTCTTCGTTCCTGGTATCCTTTCACGCAATTTTTTTTTTTCTTAGATCAGACTACGCTTCTGTCACGTTCTTATCGACCTCCGCTTATTATTACCGGGTGACGCACAATGCTGATGCAAAAACGATCTTCGCGGAAAGAACCAAGCGTCCTCCCTTTTGTTTATTTTCTACTTTTCATTCGTACGATCGAACATTGCCAATATAAAATTGATCTCCACTCGCGAGAAAAAGTTGCAAGACACGCCAACGTTCTTCGTACTTCGTACTTGACCCAAATGCTACTTTCAACCCAGTTATGTTTTCACCAAGGAACATTGGCATGTGTACTCGCGTTCAGCGTTGAAAAATACTTTAATCGTGCGAATCTCCGTTACGGCTATACCCATAAGGGGTTTCTGTCTGGGAAACAGGATGAATTAGATTTTTTGCTTTCCGTTTATAGCAAATTCCATCCAAGAGAAACTATACGCGTGGGAGTAGATTTTGAAACAACACCAAATACGTATTCGGTGTTGCTAAATCCTCGTTAGTAAGTTGAAAATGATTTCTTCCGAAAAACCGATCCGTGACGATGAAACTCGTGGCTGGGATGAACGCACGAAACGTGGGCGTAACTCGAAATCGTTCAAGAGTGGAATTGATTCCGGTGCTAGCAATTTCCCCGGTCTTGTTCCGCAGAAAAGTCGATGGGAACAAATGGTCTTTGTTGGCGGAGCGGGAGATCGAGTCGGGAGTTACGAAACAGTCCGAAATGCCATTTAGCGGTGCAACGTTCTTGCGAGCATAGTTCGTTCCGTAATATATTCAACGAGTCACGTAAGTACTCGAACCGCAAGAAAATTCCATCAACTGTGACGACCGCCAGGCCAAATTTCTTGTCGACGTTTTCGTTTCAGAGAACACTCGGGCACGAACTATCGCACATAAAGACGATTTTCTAGCGGGATCCGTTGAACCGATGTGTAGTCAACTACGAGCACGGCCCACGCATTTTCGAAACCGGTTCTATCTCGAGAACGACGCTTGTCGCGAAAAAATTCTATTCCACGTTTCCCCATTCATTTCTTCGAGACGAATCCTTCTTTAGATATTTTAGGTTATGTTGACCTCTGGTTCACGATCACGAATTCCAGCCACGATGTTAATCGTTATCGATTGCACGACACACGATCGAGTTAACGGTGTTTGCTGGAAAGGCACGAGGTAAACGAGCGCGTGGACGTTTTTTTCCAGACGATGTTAAGACGAGTCGAGAGACTAGGAAAGGGAATATACAGTTGGTTGTTGCGTTCGCGACAACCACACCTCGAGACTTTTAAGACGTTGAGACGACACTGTTTGGTAATACGACCAACGATTCGTAGCTCGAGGTCCTGTAACCGAAGAGACGGATTTCCGAGAATCGCTCGATGCCCGAGCGTCACCGAGCAACGTAATACGATACTCGTAACGGTGACTTCGAATCTGATTGTGTACAAAACTCCTGACCATCTGGAAATCTTGATTGCTCGAGGGGCTTGAAAGCCGTGAGAATGTTAATAGGTGTATTTCCTGCGTTTAGAGATTTTTACGCCCGTTAACGATATTTGGATTCATCCACGGATCGTATCTCGCGTATCGCGAACGAACAATGCTGTTCGAGTGAAGGGCACACACGCCTCGTCATCGAGTGAAAGGTGAATGCCGACGCGATTTTACACTATCGATGGAAAAAAATACGAGTCGAACGAGATCTCGACGCTGAATCGTAAATACACCTATACGCGATCGGTTTTATAATACGCGCTTGTATGAAATAGAAAACAGAGAAACGGAAGACAACGCTGTCGTATCGCTTCCAAAATAAAAATCCATTTAATCTCGTTAATAAAGCTGGAGTAGTAGGTACCGGAAGTAGGAGTATGATATCCTGTGAGCTTTGTAAATTACGCTGAAACGCTACACGCCTCCAGATACGACGAGAAGAAAGAAACGGTCATGTCTCGGAAAATAAAAATCGTACTCGATCGATAATCCATAAAACCGCGTTTTCCGATCGCCTGGTTACCCCGTGTCGATAAAAAAATGACGGTTGGGAAAGCAGGTCATCGAGTATGGGAATCGCGGGTGAACTGCTTTATTCTTGAAAGTATGAAGAAAACTGGACGTCTAGATGTCCGAGTTAACGAGGAATAATTGAGACTCGCATGTCGATGTTAAATGCAACTGATAAGAAAATATAATTCTTCCGTACTTAGGACCACATTCCCGTAATTCACATTCCGCATTACCGACCGAACGAACCACCACCTACACGAATAATTCGCCAACAAAGTCCACGCGCTACATGCTCGCGTCCATCTGTACACCCGCACAAAAGTTCATATTACTCACACAACATACAGAAATAGGAAAAGAGGGGGAAAGAGAAAGAGAGTCTGCACCACTACACGCGCGTAAGATAGAAAGAAACCGCAATAAGCATATTACATTTCATGGCACATCAGTGACGGTAACTGTTGTGTGTATCAGCGAAAAGTATCATGCCATATACGCACGGTATAGCGTCTACTGCTCTTTACGATGAATATCAAATATTATGTTTCGTTGCTTGTACGAACATTGTGATTTTTAATGTCGCGCAGAAACGGTCGAAATTCTAGGTACCGTGCACGGTGGATCGAACGTTCGGTTGGTCCTCCGGGAGATTTACATTCCGGACAAACCAGTTCTACGGACAAGCGCGCGGGACACCCCGCGTAAAACGTGCAGCAGTGCCTTTAACGTGGCCCGTGACGCGTCCCGAACGGGGTTAAGAGCTTCACCGATGGTATTTTTTCATTGGTTCCCGAGGTCGAGGAACCGCGAGACGAAAGACGAACGAAAAGAATTCCTCGTGGCCCGTGGGTCAATTTCATCTTAACGAAGCTTCAGCTGCTCGCCGAGGGGGGGCAAAACCGAAGACACGACAATACGTACGCGTTCCTTGGGGACCATTTCGTGGAAACGGTACTATCTTCGACAAACTTTCGGCGAACGTGGTTAAACTCGGATCTCCTAGGTACACAGTGGGTCGCTGCCACTCCCACGAATGAATAGATAATGCCCAGTATGCACCAACTAACACACCATAGATGTGAACCTTGGCACGGGAATGCAAAGGCTTTCTTCCTTATCGGTAATTTGTTTTGAGATGAAATCGAGCAGAGAGAGTATATTATCGATAATATTCGTTGGCTTCAGCTTTCGAACACGATAGAAAGTTTGGGAAGAGTTTATACCTGATTTCGTAAATACCGTTCGCGAATGACCTGGCATTTATGGTTGCATTCTCGGAAGTATTTCTTTAGGCATTTGTCTACTCTATCTGGACAAATTTGTAATTAAGTAATTTACAGTACGGTCGAGCAATTGAGGTCGATTGAACGGCCTTATTAATAAAACGGGTACACTTGTAGAATCGGTGCAGCGAAGGATAGGCAAACGCAACACGTGTCGATTCCGCCTTTTCTGTTTATCGACCGAATATCACTCTGTACGACACATGAACGTAAACATAGACCCGTGAGATTAGGTCACGCGTGCCCCTTTCGTTGATTCGCAGGTCACTATTGCGATTACATCGCAGGTCGGCGACTCGGTAATATATTTTAGACGTCTTCTCCGAGATAAAAAGGCTATCGAATGTCGTTCGGCTCTATACGCGATACAAACCTCGACAAAACGGTCTCCCGTGTACTCCGAAAACTGAACGAATTTATATCCACCACCAGATCGAGTCACTGTACGACGTACCGGTTACGATCTCCGAAAAAATATGATCGGCGAACTGTGTGTGAACAATACCTTTCTTGTGTCAGCACTCCGTGTCTGAAATCCACGCCGAGAAGGCAAACAAATCTGTGTTCGATTCCGTGGTCGTTTCGTACTTCCACGGGCTAACAGCGCGTAGGACCACGCGCTTGATCGATGCTCAAGCCTGTTTCTTCCTGCGAGATGTGGCTTTTCAGGAAACGTTGGACCGGCACGAGGCGTGCTGGGCTTCTTTCTCCCGATGCTCGATGGTCAAAGGCGCCAAGCAACCACCGACTCTCGCACCTCACACGACTCTCACCTCTTTTCGCCCGGCGATCTCTCGCGATCGGTTCGAATCCGTTTCGACCCTCGTTAACGTGGACTGAAACGCGAGAGAGGAAAAGAGAACAGTCAACGGCGTCGTCGTGGCGAGGGTTTAATGTCTAACGTCGGATTCTTTTCTCTCTTTCTCTCTCTGTCGGTGTTGGCGCGAACGATCGTTTTCGAATGGAATTTCGAGGTACCGAATGATGCCGCGCAACGCACCGACGGGGCCCGGCGAACGAACGGCAACTGAACCGAGAGAGTCAGGGACTCGTTCCGGGGGCCCCACCACTTTTCGCCATCTTGCTCGCCGTCGAGCGAGTTCCGAGCGTGGGGGCGACTCTATCAGGTGCGTATAGTCGCCTTTAGAAATCGCCAACACGACCGTGATTCACCGTGAATCTCCTCTTGCATCGTGTTTTTCGTCTTCCGCACCCCCCATTATTTTCATCGATGTTTCATGCAACGACATGTTCCTTTACGAGTTCCGAATTAAAACGTTGCTATTTGCAGCTTCTTTCCCCTTTCTTTCTCGAAAATAAGAACCGTTTCTAAAAATGCTTTAATATCCGATCGAACGAGGAATAAAGAACAAGAAATAGGTTAGGAAAAAAAGGGATTGGGAACCGCTGATTTCGAGAATATTTGTTCAGAAATGTTCATACAGGTCGCGTTTAAAAATATTTTTAATCCACCTTCCGCTCTTAAATGTCACGCTTCTCGTTTCCTTGTGGCCAAGAAACTCGAGGCTTAGTTTTCACGAGCAACCTGTTTTCGTTCGAGTTCAACTTTGAATTTTTGATTCGTATCGTGTGTCTGCAAAGAGCAACCGCAGCCACCAGCAGCATCGCCGAACAGAGAGAACCAGTCGCTTCTTTCTCTCTGTCCGAAGAGCTCAAGGTTTTCAGCTCGGTGAATACGCGGTAACCATGCCGGGAACCTGTTCCCCCCTGTGAGAAGAGGCTCAACTTCGGCTCTTTAAAACCTCTCCTCGTACCTTCTCTACCGTTTCGTTCCCCTTTCTCTTCTCCCCTCTTCGATTTTTGACTTTGGAAGAAAGGCCACGGAATTCGAGACGAGAGCGTGCATTTCAAGATTTTAGTATTAATCGATCGACAGAATTTTACGTAGATCGGGAAGAGGCACAGGATTCGTCGAACAAGTTCATTTTATTCCTTATTCTAACCTAGTTTCGAAATTGTTCGACGTACATTTATCGTTGCCAACCGAATATCCCTTTTACGATCGGAATAATCTTCTTTCTTTCTGGATTTACTCGCGACTGGCTGATTCGCGTATGCAAATAACGGTACCGTGTAACGATCCCGCGTATTTTATTGGCGTCTGTCCGCGTTGGCGTTACGGGACGACGCGACGAGGACGGTTTCGGTCGGTCGAGTGTCAAGTCAAGCGTCGTCGAGAGATAAATCATTTCGGTGACGGTATTTCATTTATTTAATTACCACGTGCCAGCGGTGGTGGTTAACTCACTTCCCAGTTAGGCGTGTATCGTGCAAACGGCAACATTTATTACCCGCGTCGTGGTAATTATTATTATTTCTAATGAGCGTGCCTCGCGGCTCCGCCTCGCGTGCACTGCCCTCTACGCGTCTCCCTTTCTCCCATCGCCCTAACCCTTTTACTCCTCGCCGTTTCTCCGTCGTTCCTTCCACGGCAGCGTTTTGCTTCCTTGTTGGGGTAACGCGGTGGTACGGGATGGAACTCCTGGCTGCATAACCGCGCTCGAGGTCCTCCGTTCCAGGGTTTCCCAATCCTTCGAATTCTCTGAACCCTCTGACCGCATAATTGCGTCACCTCCCGCGCAATTCTCCCTAACCTCACTTAATCCAAACCCACCACGACAATTCATTATACAACGTTCGCGAAACATTAGTACCTATCCATAATTACGAATTATGTATCGTGGCTTGTTTTAAACGTAGATCCAATTGTTCAGAAAACTTATTTACACGAATAGAACAATCGAAACAGGAATCTCTTGATTCTAGTTAAAATGAAGCAACGGTTGCTCGAAATTGCTGTTCCCTTGAATAAAAAATGGTATTCGATGCCAGAAACTAGGGGCTGGAGACATCGTGCGAAATATCGTAAAGAAAGGTGCGTTATGGGGGAACGGTTTCCGAAGGTTGGGAAACGCTGACTTTGCTCCCCGTAAGGTAGTCCCTTTCTTTTTGCGTTCGGGTCGGCGTAGCACGGTGCCTGGCGTTGTTCTACTCGGGCCCAGGGCTGTACGATGAGAGGTAGCAGGTTCGTTGGCGAGGGGAAAACGAGCCTAGGTAGAGGGGGGGGGCTCCAAGGTACGCGGCTACCGACGCGCCGCTACCTCGGTGAAAGAAATTTAATGAATGGCAGCGATCGTCGAACTTAATAAGCGTACACCTGGCAGCAGAAGTTTGCGCCATCGAGGGTTCTCCTTGTCCCTTCCGAACGGGACGTCGAGTGCCATTCGAATCGCTACGCGAACCCTGCATTTTCGTAGTCGACCATTGTCTCGAGTCTTTCGGGTGTGAACCGTATATTTTGGGGGCGCTCGCGTGCTATCAGGGAAACTATGTACGCCGTTCGTATCGTTGGAGAGCTTACGAGCGAAGCGTAACGTTTCCAGTTCGTCGACGACGAAAAACTGAAAAGGTTCGCGGCTAATCGCGCTTAATCGGCCGTCATTCGATCTAATTGAGATCGTGGGGGCTCGAGGATTTGTCCCTGACATCTATTGCTGGTGTCCTCTGGCCGAGCCGAGCGCAACACTGAACTGCAACTGCGCTTTGCGAGTGCAGCGACGAGTCGGCGGCGGGAGTCGGTGGTGGAGAGAATACGTGCACGTTCCGCGTCCTCGTAAGCGTTGTACCCTCCCGCGGACCAGACTCGACGTTCGTCTTCCCACGAACCCTTCGCTATACGTACGAGTCTTGTTACTCGTTCCGGGATCAGGAAACACTCCTATTAAGGCCGTTTTACACGGACGCGTGAAACCACGCTCGAGCGGACGCGCGATGACTTCCACGGATTATTACTCGCTCGCGATGAATCTTGTATAGTTTTTTTTCGATCGTTCAACCAATGCTCGTAGAAATCAAAGCCCTGTTTGTAATTATATTTAATCGATAAAATTTCATTTTAATAGATCTTAATTTACTTCATTGACAGTTATGAATTAGTCTGAAGGTTAGGTTCGACTATACTTTTGCCAGTCCAATCCCGATAGAACTGGGAAACAGATGGCGACTGAAAGAATGACGCGGAGTATAAAGACACCCCGAAGAACGGTGTAAAGCGAGCAAAGGCTGATAATCGATTGTCAGTTTGAAGCAGAAACGGGGGTCTACGAGTTGCAGCAGCGCCCGCGTAATTACAGCGTTTAAAGCTACCGAATGCTTACCGAACTCCGGCTAGGGGTACTTGACAACCACAAAAACAGCAATCTAATCTTTTTTTTTTAACAGACTAAGAAAATCAGCCCCGATCAGACTCTCGGATACTTTTTACTCGAATACGAATTTACAAGTAGAATTGTCGGATTTAGTTAAGTTTCCTATTTTTGTTGTAACAAATACTTCAGTTCTGAGCTTCGAATTTTTATACAGACGAATTTCATCGATGGTTAAAAAGTTGGAATCGTTCGAAAGCAATGATTGAACGGTTATTGGCCGAAATGGACGAATTCGTTATCCCGCAGGGACGAGCACCGGGGAGAAGCAAGCGAAAGAGGAAGGTTCGAGGTTCGTTCCCCGATCCTCGGCGAGGTTGGTGCTCGCGGTGAACCGAACCTGGTCGCCGGCCAGCGAATATATCCGATATCTTTGGAATGGGACATAGGTCCCGACGACGCGGCGGACATTGCTTGTACCTGTCTCCACGCATCGAACTCTGCCTGCTCACCTGCATTCCATCAACAGGGGCCCGAGGGGGGACCTTCTTGGGACTCCCAGGACCGTACCGCGTTGCCGGACGGTCGCAAACGGTCTTTCGAAAACTCACAAAAACGACGGTCCACCGTGATAATTTTTGTAAACCCGACCTACACTCGACAAGAATACCTTTATGAAACGTTTTTGCGCTAGAGAAATTTATTTATTTTTTTGCTAAAATCCATCAAGTGTACGATACGAGTTATATCTGGGAAAAATTTTAACCGAAGATTCTAGAGACCAAAATAAGTAGAAAGATGAGAATAGTAATTTGTTGATGGAGGCTCCGTTAAAAAGTTATTAACGTTTAAAGTGGCGCCTGTGAGACGGCGACCGTGCACGCTGCACATTTTAACTTTAAACGTTAATAACTTTTTAACGAAGCCTCGATCAATAAATTGGTACTCTTGATTTTTGTTTTATTTTGGGCTCTAGAACACCCCGTTAAAATTTTTCCCCTCACCGAACCAAGCCGAAGCGTTGCGTCGGTTTTCGAGGTTCGCTTCCGAAGTGGCCGTATACTTAGTTAACTTTCCATGACCCCGGTCGACCGCATGCCATAGGACCGACGTGTTCTCGAACGCATCGGGGCCCTGCAGGGCCGACTGCTCCCGCCCGTGGTCCCTTCACCTCGCAGGAATGCAGCTACACGCTCCCATGCTTTACTTGTTCGCGAACGCCACGCTCTCGTACGCGATCCTCTGCCCGGAATCTGCATCATAAACAAATTCGATATCACTGTATGTCGCGAACGATGAATTTTCAGCCGAATTTCGGGGTGGATCGAGGGAATTAAGTGGCGTGCAGAGAGCCGGCCGTTGCTCTTGGTTTTCGCTTTGTCTCGTGGCTCGATTCCCATCCTTCTCGCCTCCTCTTTGTTGCATGGCCGCGTCACCGATCCTGGCGATTCGGTATATCGTCCTACGCCCTCGCGAACTCGACGCTATCAGGTCTACGTTTCCGTAGCAGACTAAATGGAAAAAATAAAAGAAATATAATTGTATGCAACGTTCCAAGGGAATGTTAATATCCAAGTTGTTGCGATTCCGTTAGTTGTACCATGGCTTGCTAGCCTTGTAATAAATAAATTATAATAAAATATAATAAAATTATAAATTGTAATAAAAGCAAGCTTTGTCTTTCCACGAAAGAAATACGTGTTTAGCTCGAGCGGTTTAGCTGATACCTGGCGCTTAATCGTGCTTCGAATTTTTAATGTTTCAGGAAACTGGGTCTGGATCTTGTACCTCGTCAGGGTGCCCATATGGTGGACCCGGATACCATGTCCGTCGTGGAACTCTATCACGTGGTAATTACACAGGGACAAAATACCTAGCTTGACTTCTTTTCAATAACAAAACTTTGGTCAAATCGATCTCCTATTTGCATTTGTATGAGAGCACAATTCCGTTCGAGATTATGTCTCTTTGTCTCAGCGATATTGCAACGTACCGTTAGACGTGCTATGCCTGTTTCATACTGGGTCACTGCGAACAGATTTTCTCCTGCAAAAGAAAATACACGCTTTATCTACGCTGACACTATTTCGATAGGGAATAATTCTACCGTGGTACAATAGATTGTGAAAATGGCGGAACGTTCCGATACGGGAGAGGCTCTGTGTTATATTTATGACGGGCAGCGAGCGTGTGTGGGAAACGGTACTTTAAGCCGATATGAAACGCCCCGGAGTCTGCGATCACGGAAAAAGGGAGAATACAGTGGCCGAGTTGTGGCGACGAGAGTCCAATATGCACACAGAGAGAGAGAGAGAGAGATGGAAGTAGCGCATAGTTTGCTGTGTATCGCCGAGGCTCGTTGAAATTCTACCCGGAGAGCTGACCATTTCGAGTGCTCCGCAAGAATTGAAATGAACTCGGCGTCGTGTCGGATTCGCTGCACGCGCGCGTCCAACATGAAATTTTTAACGTCTCGCACGGTCGAAGCTTTCAAATCGGGGCCAATGCAAATTATTTCACTAATCTTCTAAAACTTCTTTAACGCTTCCACTATCCTATTTTTAAAGTTATTATACTTTTGTATTTATTGCATATTATCATGGGGCCATGCAAATGATTTCACTGATCCTACTTATCGATCGAAAGATGAAAGAAAACTTCTTTAACGCTTCCAAGATTCTTTTTTTAAAGTTATTTTGTATTTATTGCATATTACCATGGGGCAAAAATTTAATAAGAGATTCTAGACTGGAAAATAAGACGAAAGTCAAGAATATTAATTTCTCGATCGAGGCTTCGTCAAAGAGTTATTAAGTTTCAAAGTTTCGCCTGTAAGGCTGCAACCCTGCGTGCAACCAGTGGTTCTCACTCGACGTGAGAAGCTCTACTAGCGTATCGACAGCCTCGCAGTTCCGTGAGTGAGACTCACTGTCACGCATGCGCAGGGTTGCAGTCTTACAGGCGAAACATTAAACGAGTCTGACTGCATTGGAAAACAATATTTGTTTTCATTCAAATTAAACGTTGGATACAACATTGTAATTAATAAAAATCGCATTTTTATATGGCTTAGAAACAAGTCCAATAAAGAAAACTGATCATTAGACTGCGGATGTTTATGCATTTATGGGGAATTTTAATTCTCAAGAAACTACAGAATGCACTTGATATGCAAAAATATAAGAAATACTTAAAGATACGAATTATTATATTTAAGGGTTGAGACAATCATCTACAAAGCTCCCATTTTATTAATTCTATTAATAAAAATATGAATTTGCATAAAGATCCGTAGTCTACTGATCAGTCATGGTCAACCCGAGAAATATGAGCTATTATATTAATTAATAATTAAGAGTCTCACTCGACATTTTTTCAAGTCCAAACCAAGGAAATATCATACACTTGAAAATTAAAAAATACAACAATAATATAAATAAAACAGATATTTAATTGAATTTGTTTAAATTTGTCCTATTTTTTAGCTAACGTAAATTTTAAATAAAACACTTAAAAGCGTTGGAAGCTGCTGGTAACAAAATTCAAATACAATTCGGAGTGCAAAGGGTTAACGAAGCCTCGATCGACAAATTATCGTCTTATTTTCCTCCCATTAAATTTTTGCCACATCCACGCTGTAAATAAACAAATTACGAACGTGGATCTGTTTTCAGCACGTGCAAAGTGCAGAGAACTCCCAAGGGGCGTCCGCGAGAGGCACCCTGAGGCGAAAGGAGCACAAGAAGGTCCTCACCCACCATCTCTACTTCTGCATGAGGGATTTCGGGCATTCGATCGGAGAATACACGGAGATCTACTTCTCCCTGTACGACGCCAAGAAGAATCAATACCTGAGCGAGCGTTTTCTAGTTAGGATCTCGAAGGAGGGTTTCTCCAGCTTCGTCGAGAAGATCCACAGCAACTGCACGATCTTCACCGACCTGGGTAACGCGGACCTCAGCAGGGATCTTTACATGGTCGCTCACGTGATGCGATGCGGGAGGATGCTCTACTCAGATTCGGGGAAAAATAAAACGTGCAACGCCACGTACAGGCGTCCACACGGCGTCGCGGTGCTCTGTCTCGCCGAGGCCACGCAGGATCACACCGAGGAACTCGAGATGACGTTCAAGGTAACCAATTTAGCAACGATACGGAACTAAAAAAAAAAAGAAACATTTGTAATATCTGTTCGATGCATTTTAGGTGTATCAAGGAGAAGAGAAAGACTTTCATCAGCTTCACGAGCAGATAATTCGCAACAACAAGTGTTCCCCGCTTCCAGGACAGCCAAATTATGGTATAGTGGTCTCCCTACGTGTTCTTCACGGCGAGCTGTCTCAGGTGAGGGTGGAGAACCCGTTGCTCTTCAAGAACATATGTCTGACGAGGAAGCTCGGTTTTTCCGACGTGATCATGCCAGGCGACGTGCGCAACGACCTGTACCTGAAACTGGAACGCGGGGAGTTCGAGCGGGGTGGAAAATCGACTGGTAAAAACATCGAGGTATCGACGATCGAACGCAATCACTGAAATATAAAAAAAAGTTATTTAATAATAGACAAAGTTAATTCTTAGATGGATAATAAAAATTGACTGTAGTAATAGATATTACTTAAAATGATATACAATGAAATTCTTATGAAATAGCCTTATGGTATAAAAAAAAGTTATTTAATAATAAGAATAATTTTTAATTTTATAATAAAAATTGACTGTATAGACTATATTGTCCAGTCTTAGTTGCATACCGAGTAAACAATGTTAATTTGAACGTTAGGTAACGATATTGATGCTGGATGCGGACGGGCAACCTCTGGAGGGCTGTTTGTTCGGGGCTGCTGGGATGGAGGGCAGCTCCGAGTACCAAAGTTTAGTCATCTATCATCACAACAGTCCAGCGTGGGCGGAGACCGTTCGCTTGGCGATACCTATCGACAAGTTCTACGGGAGCCATGTCCGGTTCGAGTTCAGACACTGCTCCAGTAAGTGTTCATCAAGAACAGTGTAATCAAGAGCCCTTGGAATAATTCTTAGAGAACCTTTCTTTCTACCTTTTGCGTTTGACCGTAGCGCGCGAGAAGAACGACAAGAAGCTGTTCTCGTTCGCGTTCGTCCGTCTCATGGAGCCCGGAGGAGCGACTCTTCAGGATGGTCCTCACGAGTTGTACATTTACAAGTGCGAGGATCGCTCGAAATTGGACTCCCTGAGTTACCTCTCGTTGCCTAGCAGCGCTAGAGAGCCAAACGTGACAGGTCTGTGCCTAAAAATTGAAAGACTGTCTTACATAGGTCTACCATAGAACCTGTTCCAAGTTACATACGTTTTGCAGGTTCGCCAGCGTTCTCCAGGTCACCGAAAGAGGCTGTGTTCGTGCGCACGTTGCTCTGCAGCACCAAGCTGACGCAAAACGTGGACCTGCTGAGCCTTCTTCAGTGGAAGGCTCACCCTGAGCGAATCTCAGAAGCACTTGGTCGCGTGCTACGCCTGGACGGCGAGGAATTGGTCAAGTTCCTGCAGGACATCTTGGACGCCCTGTTCTCCATGTTCCACACCGAGGACGGGAACTCTACGGCCCACTCTGGCCTGGTGTTCCAGGTGCTGGTCTCCATCTTCAGCCTCCTGGAGGATTCAAAGTTCGAGCACTTCAAACCGGTGATGGACGCCTACATATCCGGCCACTTCGCCGCCGCGTTGGTTTACAAGGGTCTGTTGAGCAGCGTGCAACACTGCGCCGACTGGGTGAGCGCCGCGGAGAAGCAGGAGCCGATCATCAAGTGTTTCCGCTCCCTCGAGTACATCTTCAAGTTCATCATCCAGAGCCGGCTGCTGTTCGCCAGGGCGACGGCCGGCCAGTACGAGGACAGCTTCAAACGGGACATCTATCGCGTGTTCGCTGCGTTCAACAAGATGCTGGGCATCCCGTACGAGATGGTGTTGCACTCTCAGATCGCTCTGCACCACTCGATCTCGGCGGTGTTCGAGCAGCTGGTCGCGGTGCTACCGGTGTTGGAGGTGGCCAAGCTGACCTGCACGATGCTCGACTCGGTGCCCCGGGAACCACCGTTGCAACTCACGCAGGCCAAGCTCACCGCCATCAAGAACCTCACCACCTCTTCGTTGTTCCGCGAGGACGACGAGAGCAGGAACTTGCTACTGGTCACGATGTGCAGACACCTCAGAATCCACCTGATCAGACGCGAGGAGCTGCGTACCTGCACAGACATCCTTGGAGAGATACTCAGCTTCTTGCATAAGAGAGGACGCGACACGAACAAAGTGAACAACTGCATCCATCATGACGTGGAGACCCTGTGCCTGTCGATCCTCGACGTCCTCATACAGACCATCCTGATCGTGATAAACACCAGCGGTACCGTACTAGGCTGCCTGGTGGCCTGCCTGATAGGGCTTCTTCAGCTTCTGGACGAGTACCACTACGCCAGACTCTGGGAAGAGTTGACCCACGCCGGGGAACGCAAGCCCCTCAAGGATTTCCTTCTGAGAGTCTTCTTGGTCCTGCGTGATCTAGTCAGGCAGGAGGTGTTCCCGCCGGATTGGCTGGTGATCAGGATGCAGGCGAACAACGTGATCCTCGAGTCCCTGAAGGAGCTCGCCCAGCCGTTGGCTTTCCGGTTTCTGCAAGGCAGCTTCGACTCCCAGCTCTGGTCCACGTACTTCAACTTGGCCGTGGCGTACCTCACCCAGCCCTCTCTTCAGCTGGAGCAGTTCTCCGAGGTGAAACGGGAAAAGATTCTGGAGAAATATGGCGACATGAGGGTACTGATGGGTTTTCAAATACTGTCAATGTGGTCGCCTCTGGGTGATCGAAAGCTGGAATTCATCCCTGGTATGGTGGGACCGTTTCTCGAGGTCACCCTGGTCCCCGAGAGCGAGCTGAGAAAAGCCACTCTGGACATCTTCTTCGACATGATGGAGTGCGAGCAAAGGGCACGCGGTAGCTTCAGGTCCGTCGAGTCGGAACTGATCGACAAACTCGACATCCTGATCAGCGAGAACAAAGGGGACGACGAGTACAGACAGTTGTTCAACACTATGTGAGTTCAGGTCTAAGTGTCTTCAGATTTGTACAAGCTTTGTTTAAATTGCTCCGATTTGTAATTTCACGCTGCTTTAGGGAACACCTCAGCGCCGTGTAAGTTCACTGTAACAAACTATGTTTACAGAATCATTTACCATTCTATTTTTACCCCACAGATTGCTGGATAGAGTCCAGTCGGAGGATCCAGCCTGGAAGGACAGCGGAACGGCTTTCATCACGTCGATAACGCGCCTGCTGGAGCGACTTTTGGATTACAGAAGCGTGATTCAGGGTGACGAGAACCGCGACAAGCGTATGTCGTGCACCGTTAATTTATTAGTAAGTGTTAATCGCGTTAATTGAATCATCAATTGTGTAAAACGAAACGTGTATCGCGACTTGGACCATCTTGGCTCCACAGTTGTACTCTCAGTGCTGATTTAACAATGGGATTGTCCTTGCTTCTTCTGCAGAATTTCTACAAGAATGAGTTCAATCGAAAGGAGATGTACCTGCGGTACATATACAAACTTCACGATCTCCACTTGGCGGCTGAGAATTACACGGAGGCTGGATTCACGATGAAGCTGTACGCGGATCAGCTCGGTTGGAGCTCCACGATCCTCCCTCCGGATCACTCGCATCCTCAGCAACCGGAGTGGCAGAGGAAGGAGCTACTCTATCACAAGATCATTCATTATTTGGACCGTGGGAAGTGCTGGGAGAAAGGCATACCGTTGTGCAAGGAATTGGCGGTGCTGTACGAGACCAAATTGTACGATTACGCGAAACTCAGTCACGTTCTCAAACTGCAGGCCAAGTTCCTGGACAACATACTGACCCAGCTTAGACCGGAACCGGAGTACTTTCGCGTCGGTTTCTACGGTCTCAGTTTCCCTCTCTTCGTTAGGGTAAGAATCCTTCATCGTCGACCTTGAAAGAAAAAAAGAACCACAACTATTAGGTTGTCAAAATATATCCATTTTTCATCCCCTGTGACGATACAGTGCAGAAACCCCTTTCTTCTTTGTCTACCAAGTAAAATTTCACAGACGCTACTCGACACCAGATGGACGAAACTTTCCGATCAACCTGATATATGTTACATGTTTCCCTTTGCGTTGCAGAATAAGCTTTTCATCTATCGTGGTCTAGAGTACGAGCGAATAGGGGCGTTCACCCAACGATTACAGACTGAATTTCCAAGCGCACAAATATTAATGAAGAACTCCCCGCCCGACGAGAGTATTTTAGCGTCCGAGGGTCAATGTAAGTAGTCGACGCGTAAGTAAATGGTCAATAAGTAGTTCTCGTTGTTGAAAAATCGTCGTCTTTCAGACATACAAATTTGCAACGTGAAACCGATCCCCGAGGAGAGCAGCCTGGCCTGTCGGGGAGCGGAAGTCCCGGAGCGAATCGTCGCGTTTTACTTGGTGAACGACGTCCGGAAGTTTATCTTCGATCGACCGCTTCACAGGGGCCCGGTCGATCGCGAGAACGAGTTCAAGTCGTTGTGGATCGAGAGGACCGCGTTGACCACCGAGGCCAAGCTGCCCGGTATACTGAGGTGGTTCGAGGTGATCGAGAAGAGATCCGAGCTGCTGGCCCCTGTGCAATACGCCTGCGAGACCATGCAGAGCGTGGAGAGAGAATTGAGGAGACTCGTAGCGCAATACACTGCCGAACCTCATCGAAACATTAACCCTTTCAGCATGAGACTGCAGGGGATCATCGACGCGAACGTGATGGGCGGCATCACCAAGTACCAGGAAGCCTTTCTCACCCCTGAATTCGCTAGACAGAATCCGGACATGGTACCGCACGTGAACAGGTTGAAAGCATTGATTTTGGACCAGATGAGCGTGTTGGAAGCTGGACTGAATCTGCACGGGCAGATCGCGCCGGCAGGGGTGCAGCCGCTGCACAAGAGACTCAACGAAAGGTTCACGCAATTGAAACAGGGCCTCGGTACGCTGGCCAGGCAACGCACCATTCACCAGGACAGCATCGTCAAGTAATTACAGTAAACTCTCTGCTCTCGATACGGTTACCAGACGTTCTAATTCGACCCTGTGTTTCCACGTTCGCAGTTCACCGCTGCCCCCGTTGCCCGTTAGCGAGAAACAGCGACCAGCCACGTTGGAGACCGCGGGCTCTAGATACTCCCATGCGGACAGCGACGGTCTTCCGGAAGACGAAGGATTTTATACGAAGGTGGACGGTGGACCACCGCCCATTCCTCAACGCGAAGTACGGCCACGTTCGGTTGGCTACGGTACCACGCCGCCCAGACCCACGCATCAAAGATCCCTGAGCAAACCCCTTAGTCCTAAGTTGCCATTGAGACACTCGTTGCCCACGCCGACGGACGGCATCGATCAGCCGGGCTTGAGAACTTCCTGGAGCGAGCCTGGCCCGGAGCAAGCTCCGCCATTGCCCCCCAGAGGTTGCAGTAAGTTCTCTGATCATTAACCTGAACCGTACCTGTGGTAACGACAAGATTCTAGCTCGTCCGATGTTTCAGCGCCCGACAAGAGAGACACGAACACGAACGTGGTCGTTCCACCCGCGCCGCCAAAGCGATTGGCGTACAAACGTAACACGGAATGGAGCACCGACGACGACTCCGAGGCGCAGAACGAGCCGAACGATCTTCGCGACAGCGGCATATCGACCGCCAGTCTGTTGGACTTCCAGTCGCATCTGACCAACTTGAACAACCTCGGTTACGAGGACTTTGAGCCACGGACAAGGTGCAACGATATCATGAACATCTCACCGCCGTCCGTGATCAACTCGCTCAACATTTCCACGGGGAATTTTATGAACGTCGCGTTTCAAGGCTCGCACTCTCTGCCCGGCCAAGAGGTTAATATTGTCACGTCGCTTTTTAAAGCTCTATATGTCGTGGGAGCAATTTATGTTATATACGATTCATTTACCCATTCACGTGGACTTTATTTCAGGTTAGTCCACCGCCGATTCCACCCAAGGCCCACCAAGACACCCCGTCGGCCCCGTCGACCTTGGAAAGAGTCTCCAGCCGCTCGCAATCGCACGGCCATACCGAGAACTACTCGGTGCCGAAGCTTCAAACGTTGTCCGTAGCATCGGACACGGAAAGTACCGTCTAGCAACGATGAATCTCCTAGTCCTATAACGCGATTAATTCGTGATGTGCACGTGCCACGGACGAGCAGATCCCCGATCGTAGAATCGTATGTAATTCCGGAGAGTCGTCGAGAGTCTCGACTGGGCTTGCGCAGTAACGTCTCTGACATTTGCACATCATTCGTATACGTTATTATACACGTAAGAGAATCCTGTAATAATCCAAATGAAAATGCGTAACTCGACGTGGATCACCCACCTGTGTGTTGTAACGTACCTTGGTAGAAAAAAACGGTATATCGAAACGCCGAGAGACGTTTTCGACCTCAAAGCAACGTTCTCGTGCATGCAACACGCGACGCAGACGAAAGGCTGCTTTTTAACGAGTCGACATTGCGTTTTTTACTAATTCATCGAGCGTAATTCCATGTAGATTCATTTTCCTTAAGGTCTCATCTTAATTGAACAGTTTCCATGGGTCAAAATAGACTTGATATTGTCTAGGTTTTTAATGGAAGATCTTGTCATCTGTGACTAGATGGCGTGGCGATCGACATACCTCGATTATAATATGCATCACGCGTTGCACTCGCGGGAACGCGATTTGTGGTCCACGAATGGTTCTATCGTTGAACGCTTCGGGTCGCTTTTGTTCGATGCAGTTTAACGAGAATCTACAGCTAGTGCTCTCGGCGTTGACACGATAGTACACTAACTTTACGTTAAAGACGACGATCTTCCGAATATTAACCTAACTATATATATTTTGTAATTTATTTATATTTTCGATGAGAATAAAGGTAATTTTTATCAACGAGAACTATCAGCGTTATTAAAACCTTTCCTATCTTCAACGAACAGGAAGAGTGTAAGAATCGCGACAACCGAATGGAAGGATATATATAAATTATGTATTTTGTCACGTTCTTTCCATATAAATATATACAAAACTATGAAAATTGTGCCGTACGTTGTACGCTTCTTCCATGGCATGTATAAAAACGTTCTAGACTTTAAAAAAAAAAGAAAAATGACGTAATAGTATCTAAACGTAAAATGGAAGTGGAATGTATACATTGCACAATACTGCGTTAAGTAATTAAGGTACTAAGGGATAAGGATAGGGAGAGTGAGAGTGAAAGAGAGATATTAATTACACGAACGATGGAATGAACTAGAGATCATCTGTGGTCTTCCGTGGTTTCGCGCGATCATACGAAAACGAACGAAGAGAACGGAAGAGAATCGCTTCCGAGTCCCGGAGCTTAACATCACAAGAAACAAAATATCGACAAGCGTACGCATATAGATACGAACAGGCACTCACGCATACATACTAATCGATATGGCTAACTTCGTAAGTACAGTCATGGCCGCTCTTAAAATATACCTCGGAGCAATTACGGCTCCAAGAAATATATATTTATGTATATATATATATATATATCATCATTTTGAGTTTTAAGCTAATAGTACGTTATATTACTTTGTACGGTGTTTGTTTGTAGCACGGGGCGCGTCACACTGACGTTTCCGCATTAGTATCCTTCCTAAAACAACACGAACGGATAAAATTAATTTAAAAATTTGCGCTTAACAACGTATTGACAGTTTTGTGAGTTAAAACGTGACCGTCGATAGCAGCGATTCACTGGACGCTTACCTCTTCGCTAATTATTTTCGTATCCCAGGGTAAGCATAAACGATAGAGAAGGCGGTGTTAGTGAAATTGTATCTCTGCTATTCGTTTATCGAAAACGAGAACTACGTCAAAACAGAGCCGGGTATTAGCGAGATAACCAATAAAATAACGTTACTCGCGTGAGTGGTCAGTTTTCTGTTTTTAAACAGAGTGTTGGAAACATTCCCCGCGATATGGCGCGCGACACTTACTCGGTCTCCGTGATCGTTTGCTCGTATTGCTGCTGCTGTTGCCTGAGCCCAGCCAATTCGTTGCTGTGCTGCAGATCGTGGGTGAGCGAGCTGGACAATATCCTCCCGCTCATCGGCAGGATATACTCCGGCGAGTCCTCCAACACGGTCGGCGTGATTTTCCCTCGTTTCAGGCTGCCGTACCTCTCCGAGCCGCTAAGATTGTCGTGCTGTGATCCGTGCAAGCTCTGCCCCCGCTTCAAGCTTCCGTACCTCTCGGAACCGCTCATGTTCTCGTGATTCGAGGTCTGAGAATGGTGGCTCATGCTGGACGCGAGGATCCGGGAAGACATTGGTAGTATATACGGCGTGGGCGAGACGGTGTGATCCTCCTCGGCGGTATAGGGGAACAGATACTTCTCGCCCAAATGATGAAGCTTCTCCTCGCCCTCCGAGTAATTTTCATCCGGCTGACTCTTCCGCGGCGAGTTCATTTCGGGGTAAGGCAGTGGGTTGGGGCTGGAAGTCTTGTTCGAGGCCATTTCGTTGTCGGATATCGTGCCTCCCGACCATTGGCTTCCACGCACGTCCATTACTACAAATGGAACATTTCTTGCTTAAACTATGGTGTATACCCTGTCTCTGATCTAGCAAATGCACTGACCGTTCGATGACAAATACGCTTCCGGCAATTGGGAACTCCATCTAGGCGCGTAAATGGGTTTTATGTTTGGGAAGAGTTCCGTGTTTGAGCAAAGTATGTTCAAGTGTTCGGTAGGATTGGTGTGAATGTTGGGCAAGTAGCTGTGCGCAACGGACTGCTGCGTCGAGACGCCCATGTTTCTATGCGACCTCGACGCTACGTCCTCCTCGTCAGAGCTATGGGAGCTTGCAAGATCCAAGCTTCTACCACCGCCTTCCGCTTGCGATCCGTCCGAATCAGACTCGGAATCTCTACGCTGATTCCGCGGTTCCGTTGATTCTAAAATTTATTAGATTAATAAATATTAATATTAATTAGATTAATATTAATACCTTGTCTGGAGTGTAAGGTCGATCGATGACTTCTAGACGACATGTAGGGGTCCCTATCGCTATTGTAATTGCTAGTGGACGTTGAAGTATGCCTTAAATGAGTGTCGCTACGATACGGACTGGACCCAGTCTTATTTGTACTTCGAGATGTTGTACTGCTCGTCGAAACTCCTACGTGGACTCTTCTACAGACCGATTCCGCTCCGCTGTAGGTCGACGAGTACGCCAACGCGGATCGCTGCAACACCGTTAAACGTTTTAACATTCGTTTCCAGTTTGTTGCAACGTTGTAATAGTTATCTTTTATTCTACTTTCCAATCGTTCAACGTACCGAGTGGCCGTTTACATTCTGACTGCTGCTGCCATTTCCCATGCTTCCTTCCAACAAAGGTGTCTTCTTCCCGATACACCTTAATAGACTCAAATATAAATTTCTACGTACTCTGCCATTGACGAAGCAATAACCGATCAAACTGAACGCTGCGTGAACGACTACGGCTATGCTGAGCAGGTACGAGAGAGTCGGAGAGTTTTCGGACGCGTTCAGGACTGTTAGGGTCCAGGTGGATCCTAGCAAAGGCAGCGACGCCACGGACAACCAAAGTAGCGTTCTCAGATTCCCGAATCCCAGGATGTGCTCCTTCAGGGTGAACGCGGCTCGTACGGACATTACGAGGATACAAAAGTTGACGAATACCGCCAGGCACACAGGTCCTATCAACGACCAAATCACAGTTTCGTAGATCGATAGCCAGCAACTGAAACAGAGAGTCGGGAATAAGATTTGTTTGGCTGTTGCGTTCACAGTGAGTCTTTTAAACGATTTGCGTACAAATAGAAGTTTCCATATTGATCGGCTCTGACGCCTATCGTTAATCCAACGATAATAGCCGGAGCTCCGTAACCCATCGTGTAATAAAATCTCATCTGGCCGTGATTCACGTCTCTCATCTCGGTGAGCATTCGATACAGGTGTATAGAGTCGACCAGAGTCCACGAGAACGTGCTCAGCCATGCGTAATGGAGACCGATCGCCGTCAACTTGCACGGGAATTCGTTCGAGACTAGAGGGCTTCTGGCTTTGAGCGCGATCAGATAGAGCACTTCGGCGAAGAAGACGCACATCACCAGATTCTTATGAATACTGTTCGAGTTGGTGCTGCCGCCTCGTATCAAAGATAAAATCAACAGAGCTGACAGCAGCAAAGGCAACGCGAGCATGAACGCGCTGTAACTGGTCACGTCTTCCAACAGAGACGGTTCCGGGACGTACTCCAGGTCCAGGACGTCGGTTAATATCGCGAAGGTGGACAGTTGAAGACACGAACAGTTGACGATCGTGCCAAAGGATAGCGTATCGTCCTCGACTTCGGTGGTGCAGCCCATTCGACTCCACTCACCGACCCTGGAAACGCATTACACTTAACACCGAATATTTAGATAAGATACAGACAGGTCAATTGTATGAGAGTATCCGTACCCTCTAGCCGTGCTCCAATGCACGCACTGTGGATTGGTTCTAGTCTTAAGTTCGTCTTTTTCGCTAAGCCAGAGGCTAATTTGAACAGGAGACTGCAGAGGAATCCCTGTCAGAGATTCGTAACCGTTTTCAGAAGGGACTAAGACAGACACGGTTAAAACTGGAGATCCTACTGCTACTTCCACGCCCCATCTTACCGTCACCGAATCGTCGAATCTGTAAAATATCACTGCTGTTAATTCGCGTTACTTTTATTCAGAGATGCAAGTCCTGTACAGTAAATATTCTCTAGCGTACCTTCGAGGTAACAAGGCACCCAATTGTTTGTATTGCACGTAACTCAGCACAGCCTTTCGATTGACCAAACTTTTCTTAACGTTTAACTCCCCTTGCATCAAAGGTTTGATGCCCAACACGCTCAGGGGCACGTGTATCTTGGAATATGGATCGAATCTGTTCGGATCCGCCATGTAATTATTGTACTTTGGAAAGGCGATCGAGGGTCCGAAATGCGCGGGGGCTGATAAAAACGCGGACGTGTCCGGTATAACTACTCTTTGATCCGCCTCGCTCGGTCTGGCCGTGGAAGCAGATGGATCTTCCTTGTACTCTGCCGTCTCGTAGCCGAATAAGCTCTCCGAGGTGACCACGTCCAGACCCAACACTACAAAGAAAAAGAACCAACGTCAGAAGATGATTTGTACAAGATTGATTACTACGTTTCCTTACCAACGTTAGCGTCGACCACCTCGAAGGGATCGGTAAAGGTATCGTGTTGAGAGGCGGTCAGAGTCTTCAAGTAATTCCCCATAGCATCTAGAATCTTGTCAGGAGTGTCGCCGTTGAGGTCCTCGATCCTCGACCATTTGTCCAAGTACTTGGCCATTGAAACACTGCCAGCGATCCCGACCAAGTGGGAGACGTAGTCTTTATCCTGACTGTGGGTCAGATTCAGCCCTACCAAGCTCTCCTCGTACCTCAACAGAGCCACCAACAAGGACTCCGCGATCAGCAAGTCTGCACCGTACATCACTTTGGTCATGTTCGCCGCTCTGTGAACGTCTTTGGCTATCTTAACAGCCACGTAAGTGTTGAGCGTTAGATCCTTCGCCTCCAACGCCGCCAGCTGATGTCTCTGCTCGATGAAGGCCTCCGAGGTGCAATTGAAGAGGTCCGGCTCCTGCCAGCCGCCCAGTTTGTCGTCACAGGACCTGGACGTCTTGCCTTCGGAGGTGTCCGGGCAATCCTCGACTGCAGTCATTCCGAACTTGGTCCTTGGCCACCAGAGACCCTCCGCGTAGGACTTGGGGCACCCGTCGTACACCACCTCGCATCCCCGAAGGGTGACCTCGGCGTAAGGGTTAGGACAGGCTGTGCAAGATCTACCGATGACCCCGATTCGACACCTGCACTGTCCAGTCTCTGTATCGCAGCGAGGTCCAAAGCTCCCGGTGGCGTAGCACTCGCAGGGGATGCACTCCTTCTTCCCGGAGGGTTGGTAATGGTTCTCCTTGCAGTAACACTCCCCGGTGGTCTTGTTGCAGGCTGGATCGTAGCCTTTCACCTCGTCGCAGTGGCAGGGTCCGCAGACCGGGGAGCCCCACCAGGTGGCTGGGCAAGGTTGGTCGGCCTTGATCTCGCAGTAATCGCCGGAATACTCTGGCGAATCGCACTGGCAACCGTAGCCCCTGCGCGAGCGGAGATCCTCGATGCAGGTGCCGGTGTCGTTGCACGGATTCAAGTCGCATACGCGCTCGCAGTCGCGACCTACTCTACCTGGGGAGCAAACGCATTCGCTGGCCTTCCACTTGGCAACGCAAACTGAGGCTTCAGGGCAGTCAACGTCACACTCTGCCTCGGAGTTGCAACCGGTAGCGACGTTCTCCTGAACGGTAGGTCGCAGCAGGACGGTCTGGTTGGTCCCGATGCGTATATCCTGAAGACACCCGTTGAAGAACGGTAGCTCGGTGTTGGTGAACTGTTCTGGCCTGCCCACCAGGATCCTGCCCACGTAGAGACCTTGCAGTTTCGCTGGTAATGGCGAGGACATGGGTCTGTTGCGGTAGTCGACGTCCAGAGAGACCTGGCCACTTTGCCAGACGATCTCTATCCTGTGCCAGTCGCCGTCCGCCACGTTCTTCCAGGTCTGGATGATGTCTGAACCGTCCAGCAGGCCCACCAGCTTCCCGTCACGGATCTCGAGCAACGCGGAGCTGTTCTGACCGATCTGCACGCTCATCACGAACGCCCGGTCGGCTCGAGTTCTCAGACTGAGAGCTGTTAGCCAGGGTAGCTGAATAGGCCTTAATAGAGGATTGAAGCTGAGCATACCGTCACCGTGGAAGTTCCACGGTTTGCCCACTTCGTCGGCGCACGTGGGCCCGGCGTAGTTCTCCTCGCATTCGCAGACGAATCCTGACCATACTTCTTTGCACTTGCCGTTGTTTCTGCAGGGTGTAGAGGCGCAGAACGAGGCCTTCTCGGGGCAGCCGGAATTCGTGCCATTGTCCGCCACGAACGAGTTCAGGTCGACGAACGCGTGGTCGACGAACAGCTCGCCTATGCAGCCGACAAAGTCCTTGTTTCTGATCTGAAAGCTGGAAGGTATGGCGGGCAGACCGCCCAGTTGCAGGGGCCCTGTCAGATCCAGGAACCGATGGCAGGTCTCTGTGACGATGTTGCACCGTTCCTCGAGCACCTGTTCGCTCCTCCCGGCGCAGGACCATCGTGCACCGAGGCGATCGCCGTACTCCAGCGCCAAAGCAACGTCACAGTCGTCCAGCGAGATCGTCACGGTTCTGTTTATGTAAGAGACCTCCACCTCGTGCCACTGGCCATCAGAGACCCCGCCAGGTACACTGGCGCTCGCTCGAGTTACCTCATCGCCCAGAGAGAAGCTGAACTGTACCTGCGACTCTATTATCTCCAAGGCGACGAAGTCGTGCTTCTCGTTGTAACGACCGTTGTAGAGGAGGAGCCCGTTGGCCGACTCGGTCGCGAACCTCAGTCTGAGATGCAGTCTGTGTCTCTGTTTCAGAGACGGGAACGTGAGAAAGGTCGCTGGCCCGAAGCTACGGGCTTTCAGCTCGCAAAGTGGTGTGACGCTCTCCAGAGTCGCCACGGGGCACCCTTCGCACGTGAAACCGCCCGTGGTTCTCACGGTGCACTGAGAGCCTCCTTTGCACATGCCAGGGCTGCAGGTGTCTTGGTCCAGCGAGATCTCGCAGTTCTCTCCCACGTACTCAGCGCCGCAGACGCATGTGTATCCACCTTCTCTTCGATGGCAGCTGCCCCCGTTCATACAAGGATTCGAGTAACAGAGATTCACCTCCGTGTCGCAGAGGTAGGACTCTTTACTGCCAGTGAAGCCTCTAGCGCATCTACAGGCGAACGTCGTCACCGGGTATATAGGCCTGAAGAGCACCGTGTCGCTGCTCGCGAATCCAGAAGCGTTCCCGAATTTCAGGACGGTCAGGCACTCCTCGAAGTTCAAACAGGGCTCCCTGACGCAGAGATTGTCGTCGAAAGGCAGCACCGTGACCGTCGCTAGTCTCGCTAGTATACCTCTGTTCAAGTAAACGCGCTCTTGGAGGAATTGGGGGCTGTAGAACTCGTCGGTGACGCCTGGCTCGACTCTGCGCGCCGAGAAGCTCACGTTTAGAATCTTCCCGTGCACGTTCGCGTCCTCCTGTATGCTGAAGAGGAATATGTTCTCTCTGGGGCAAGGTACGATCGCCGCTAGACCGTCGAGAAAGTAGCCCAACAGTGGGCTGAGAAACGCCTCGGCGGTCATGTCGTCCAGTCGCACGGTGATTGAATTTAAAAGCATCTTGTCGGTGATCAGTCGCACGGAAAGCGTCATCGTGGCCTTGACCTCGTTGATCCCGTCCGTGACCGACACCTCCATGGTCGCTACCCGCGGCACGTTCGTGTTCAATTGCGGCGACAGACGTATCTCGCCAGTCGTTTTGTTCAGGTCGATTAAATTCGCATTGTTCCCGGCGAGGATCGTGTACGTCAGCCTGTCGGTCACGTCCGCGTCCACGGCCGGTATCTTGCCGATGCCCGTGGCCGGGAAGAAGTCTTTGAAGTTGTTGAAAATGATCTGAAAGTCCTTCAAGACCGGCGCGTTGTCGTTCACGTCGGTCACCAGAATCTGTACTAGAGCGTCCGAGCGCAACGGGGGCGAGGCTGCTCGCACCACTAACTCGAACTTTTTCTTAGGCGACTCGTAATCCAGTTCCTCCAGAGTGATCAGTTCCGCTCGATCCGCGCCCGGTCTGACATTCAGAGCGAAGCTGTTCGAGTCCTCGCCGCCTATCACGGAGTATTGCACGACGGCGTTCGGTCCCTCGTCCGGATCGTGGGCGTAGATCTCACCTACGGTAGAGCCGATAGGCGAATTCTCCGCTATGTACAGAACGATTTTATCGTTTTCGAAAGCCGGTGGTGAATCGTTCACGTCCTCTATTTTAACGATCACGGGTACCACGGATGTCAGGGAAGGAGACCCTCTGTCCATGGCTATCGCTTTCAGGGAGTACCTCGCAACTGATTCTCTGTCCAATGGTTTCGCTGTTCTGACTATACCAGTCGTGGAATCCACGGCAAATGCACCGTCGCCATCGTCCTCTAGCGCGTACCTTACCTAAAACGATAAATCATGTAAGAGATTGTATGAATTTTTACTAAATTAGGAATGTGTTTTTTTAATTCAGTCTTTATAGCGTTAAATACCCTGCCGTTGAGATCCGTGTCCGCGTCGGTGGCGGAAACTTTCAAAACGCAAGTGCCGACCAGGACGTCTTCCGGGATGGAGCCCTGGTACTGAGGCGCTTCGAAGATCGGGGAATTATCGTTCACGTCCGTGACGGATATCTCCACGTCCGTGGTGTCTGAAAGAGGTGGGACGCCTCCGTCTCTAGCTGTAACTGTTAACAAATACGCTGGTGTAAGTTCGCGATCTAGGGTCCGGGTAGTCGTTATGGCGCCAGTCTGTGGATTGATGGTGAACTCGGACGACGCTTGGTCCCCGCCGTCGGTGTCCAAGCTGTAAGTAACTTGAGCGTTCTTTCCAACGTCAGAGTCGGTAGCGCTGACCACCAGAACCGTGGTGCCAACTGGAGCATCCTCGAACACTGAGACGGAGTACGGTGCGTTCTCGAATACAGGAGAGAAGTTGTTCGCATCGGAGATGTTTACATAGACGAGGGCAGTGTCGGTTCTACCCCCGCTGTCGGAGGCTGTCACGGTCAGCACGAATCTCTTCTCCTGCTTGTAGTCTAACGGCTGAGCCACGGTGATCAGACCCCTGCCATTTTGAGACGCTATGGAGAACCGACCTCTCGTGTTACCAGCGGTGATCTCGTAATGTATCCTGGCATCCTCGTCGGGATCAGTCGCCGTGACAGAGGTCACAGGAGTACCTGGAGGGTCGTCCTCCGACACCACAGCTTCATAGTTCTTTGGATCGAAGTAGGGATCATTATCGTTGACGTCGGTGACCGTGAGTATCACCGTAGCGCTAGCAGCCTTGGGCATCTCTCCCGAGTCCGCCGCGATCACGGTGAACTGGTACCTGGAGCATTGCTCGCGATCGAGCTGCTTGGTCGTGTAGATCCATCCGGTCTCGGCGTTCACCGTGATGGGAAAGTTCTCCGTGGAGGCGCCAGAGAAGTCTCGAGCCCCAACGGTGTACTTGATGCGAGCGTTAGCGCCCTCATCAGCGTCGTACGCCTGTATCCTCAGCATCGAGTACCCGACAGGCACGTTCTCCGATACAGATTCCTGAAAATGACTGGTGTAGAATCGCGGAGCATTGTCGTTAACGTCCTTGACGTGCACCAGCAGCTGCGTGGTGTTAGATCTGGCAGGCGATCCGCCATCTTGCGCCCGAATGACTATCTTATAGCTTCTGGTGGACTCGTAGTCCAAGGACTTGACGAGTGCCACGTCGCCGCTCATAGAGTCTATGGAGAACGTGTTCTGTGTATTTCCACCGATGATCGCGTACCGTACAACGGCGTTGTTCCCGGCGTCGGCGTCCGTCGCCCTGATACGAGCCACCACGGGGTTCGCCGTGTAGTCCAGGTCCTCTGGTATCCAGACGGAGTAGGTGCGCTCGGTGAATTGAGGATAGTTGTCGTTGTCGTCGAGAACGCGGACCATCAAGGTAGCGTTCGCGCTCTTCCTCGCAGACGGAGGCGTCGCCTGGTCGGTCACGCTCAATAGCACCGTGTAGATCTCTGTTTTCTCTCTGTCGAACGGCGTGCGCGTAGTGATCACCCCCGACCTGGGATCTATCCGGAAAGTGAGAGCGTCCTCGGGGCTCGCGACACCGTTCCCGCAGCTCGTCGCCAGGATCGAGTACTCTACCTCGGCGTTTCTACCGGTGTCCTTGTCCGAGGCCTTCACCGTGACCACGGTCGAGCCCACAGGCACACCCTCTCTGACGGAGGCGTCGTACTCCGGCCACTCGAAGCTGGGCGCGTGATCATTTGCATCCAGAACGTTCACCTGAAGGGTGGTGGTGCCTGTGCGTGGGGGAAACGAATCATCCACGGCCAACACCCGGAAATAGTGCACGTCCACGCTTTCCCGGTCGAGTCTGGCGCGGGTGGTGACTCTACCAGTGACGGAGTCGAGGATCAACAACTCCTGGGACCGAGCGTCCAGAAGGGAGCTCATCGAGTAACGAACCGTTCCACCTTCCGGGTCCCTGGCGCGGACGGAAGTCACGTACACGCCAGGATCCTTCTCCTCCTCGACCGCCCCGACGTACAACGGCTGCTCGAAGTACGGTGATTGATTCTTCAGCTCTCTTCTCACGCGTCTGCCCAGGTCAGTGTCGTCCAGCTGACGATGATGAAAGACGATCTTGAGACGGTGCTCGGCGTCGGTGAGTCGCGACTCCATGCCGCATCTGAGGTTCATCGACACGGAGATCTTCCACAACGGGTCCACCAAGCACTGCTCGGAGGCAGAGACCAGGTCGCCGGCTGCTCCCTCGATGAGAAACCTCGGATCTGCCACGCCGCCCCATCTGGTCTCGCACTCCTTCAACGCCGTTTGCGGGAGGAAGTCGCGTAACGCTGCGACCAGCTGCGACGCCCGAAGACAGACTTCGGTGAACCTGTCGACGGGACCAACAGTGTTATACGACGAATCTTATCTATCTTTTTACAGCGACTATTCTTCTAGGACGTGTGTGGAATAGGATATCGAGTAGTCAAGGAGCGTATATGTAGGAACGGAGCACTAGCGAGAGACACAAGAGCGTAGTCCTATGGTAGCAAGTATGTACGGGAGATGGCGCCACAGAAGCAACAAAAAATTTTCACGCAATCTGATCTCCGTTGATCTTGGCTGCAAATATGTACAGATTAGAACAAGAATCAGCGATTATTTTAATTTAGTAACTGACCAATCGAACTCGAATGTCATCCACGAAATAATAAACAGAAAATCACCTTTCTGTGCTGGGCATAGCGTAGGAGGCCAAAGTCTCCGCCATCCATCCTCTGGTGGCGGCAAGGTCTCGGTTCTCACCGCCGCAGCCGGTTATCAAGATCCTCAACGGCAGGCTGTAATAGTCAATGGTCGGTCTGCCGAGTCTGGAGCTCGTCGAGTCCACGTAGAAGGTGAAGATACGCGGATATTGAAGCCCGTCGCAGCTCAACGGTCGCGCCAGGGTGACGCGGCCGGTGTGAGGGTGGACCTTGAGCAGCTTCCTCGCGAACCAGGCAGTTCGTTCGTTCGACACCTGGTATTTTCGACGACCACCCAGCTGGGGCACCCCTGCCTCGAACACCACGCTCCCGGTCGGTGTCTCGGAGGACAGCACGGCCAGATAGGCGTGGGTCAGGGTCCAGAAGCACGCGAGGATTGGAAGGATCCATTTCCACTTGGCCATGGCGGCCACCCTCTTACTGCTCGCGGTCCTTCGCGTGTTCCTCTTCCCTCGCGGACGATCGTCCCATCGTTCCACGCTTCCTCGCTACGAGCCACCTTCAATGCGTCCCCCTCTCGCGTCTCATCTGCGAATCAACAGAAATTCGAGGATCAAACAACGCCGACTTTGCCAGTTTTCTTCCAACTACAGCGACGATTCTTAAAATGTATGGCAAAAACAAAATTCGATACCAGTCGATATTTATAGAGAGCGATATCGTTGAGACTCGGAGTCGCCTTTATCTTATACCGATAGCCGTAGTCGACAACCAAAGAAAAGAGTGAGAACATCGTCTTCAAAAATTTGTTAATACATCAAGCTGGACATAAAGCTTGAGTTTGAAGTTTTAAAAATAATTACAATTGCTATCTCGACGAGCAACATTATTGTTGTAATTGAGAATTGTACGCTACAAGTTCTATCCTCGACTTCCATGTTTTCTTGCGCTGAAAATCCTCCGGCGAGTGTGAGAATGCAATACCCCGCGCAAAACGTGGGAACAACGATTTCCGTTCATTTTACCCTCCTTGTTCGTTCGTTCCCTACCATGGCAAATTCGTTGACCCTGTCTCGTTCAACGTGGAAGCCAAGACGCGATGAAACTTCAACTTTTAGACGTTTCCACGGTGGGGTAAAACGCGAGAAGGAACAGTAACCTGAGGAAACAGACTAAAGTTTTTATAAGCTGTCTATACATGGACTACAATTTTTTACAATGGTCTTGTGGAATACCTTGATATGCAAAAGGGTTAACCTCTCTTAAAAAGAGATATCATACACTTGAAAATTACAAAATACAGCAGTAGTGTAAATGAAACAGGTATTTAATTGAATTTGTTTGTTCCTCTGTTTGTTCAAATTGTCCTATTTTTTAGTCAACGTAGATTTTAAATAAAACACTTAAAAGCGTTGTGCTGGTAACAAAATTGAAATATAATTCGTTTGTTAATTCTTTGATTATTTCTTGGCATTTCTTTAATAATATTCTGCCAGCGTGTTCGAGAGGTAGGAAGGTGCATGGTGCGTACAGGTACCGAGACGGTCGTAAGAGAAGCAGGTCCGCAACGGCAAAGAGTGGAAACGCGTTTAAGAATACGCGATGTAATACGTAGCGCAAAGGACGCAGTCGTCCTCGACGAGCGTTCCATGTGTTTTATTGTGTTAGAAATTGCCGCGGCGGTCCCCAAGATGAAGGGACTAGTTGACCGTAGCCAGAGCACGATAGGCCTCTCTCGTGGCATCGTCTCCGTCGATCCTCCTTCCCCCGGAGGCTAGCCGATCCGGTTTGACCAATCCAAACGTATGGTGCATCGGCACGAACCAATCGAACATGCGGCGCGCGCAACCACCGACCACCAACCAACCGGCTACGATCCCCCGGAACAAAATAACCCAACGAGAAAAGAAACCACCAAAGAGATACTCAGGGACGCCGTTGTTTAAACGCGTAAGGAGGGACGCTTCGTCTGCATCTCGCGATGCGTACGACCTTCCCTTCGCCTCGAAGATTCATTTTTAGAATCTAAATTGTTTAAATTACACAAGGTATTACAATAACAGAAGATTGGTGGTTGGTCAAGACCGGAAATGCTTTCGATGTACGGTCTCGGAGAAACGAGAATGATTCGTGACCAAAAGGATCTCGTAAAAGGATCCTCGAGCGTGATCGATAAAAAACGATAATCGCAAACAACCGTACCGAGTGCTCTGAAAAACATGCGAATCATCGAAACAATCTAGCTCCCGGAGCTGCTCGACGAATCTACAAACGTACAATGGAACGTTTTGGTACTCGCGAGGCAACAAGGATGGATTTAAAAATTTAAATTTGACAAAAGTTTAATTTCTTTTACGCTAAAGAGGTAATGTTCGAGAATAAAATGTCGAGCGTCGTACGCGTCCTTTTCGAACGCATTCTTAAAGCGAGGTATGTATTCCGTGAACGGTGCACGCTTGCACCTTTATATTCCATCCTCGTTCCCGGCTTGCGCCGTTCCTGACTGTGAAATTCCGGTTAACCGTCCAGTGGAAAATGCACGATTTCGATAACATCTTTCAGCATGGGGATTCCTACCCCCCGAACACGTATATCACGACTAGGTGAAACTAATGTCCGCGTTACGACACGAGTGTCCATTTTCCTGGCCGTTGAGCACGGGAGAAAAAATAATGGCGGGGAATCGGGGGATCCTCCGCTTTCAGCGAACGGGGCTATTAATTACACGAAAAAGGCTGAACCGGGCCTGGAACACGAGCCTACCAATTACAGTCGAAAACAGGTCCCGATCCTCGCGGTAACGACGAGCACGCCTAATCGAGTCGCTCGAGCGGTTTTCGGGATCGTAGATGACCGGTCGAAACTCCGATTTCTGACCAACTATTTCGGCGAATATGGGTGCACGTTATCGCGAAACCAATCGACCTCGAACCAACCAACGAAACGCCCAATTCGATGGCCCTTTTAATAAAGACATAAAGCCTTTTACTATCGTTTCCAGCCATTCCTCGATTCGATTTGCTGTTTTGTCACACCAACGCAATTTACTTGACTCTCAATCGATTTCTCGAGCAATTTTAATCCACTTGAAATTCTGAAATTTAATCGATCGAGTTATCTAGAGAACAATACACAGCATTATAGAACAATTTAGCGTATATTTTACCGTTTGGAAAATTATCATACTCTATCCAAGATAGCATTAACCGGTACCTATACCATCGAATATCTCCAACCAGCTAGAAACCGTAAACGATGTTGCAGTATTATTTCCTAATCGATTTCATCGTCTTCACGTAATATGACACGAAGCATGTTTTATGGAACATTGTGCAACCTTTAAATCCTCCGTAACGATCATCCAATGCGACGATTACCGTGGACAAGTCCTAGCAAAGACTGACGTGGCAAGTTCTTTGACTTTCGTTAAACCGTCAACTGAAATTCTATAGACGCGGCGCGTTTAAACTCCGGGCATTTCTATCGTCCTTCAGCCTGAAAAAGAATGGCTGAATTTTACAACTTTCATTTATACGCAATATTTCTTTTCAAACCCTTGTATATTGTTGTCTCGAAGAAAAAGAGACGTTATATATCATTACCATAATCGAGCCCTCGATCGCGATTCTACGAACATTCTTTCGCTATTCGAGCCTCATCTTCGCATCGTATTACGTTTACACGGCTCACGAAGGCCGGTCGAAATTAGGGGGAAATTATTTTCTCGGAAAGAGAAGCGACCCAGACGTAACTTGATAGCTCCCGAGGTGTTTTTTGGTCCGAGCTACACAAAGAAACTTTATGTCTTTTTTTTTTTTTAGCGGTTGCTTCGTCTGGCCATACAACGAATGACCACGCGAAACGACACGGTGTATATAGGTACATGCACGGTTATTTTGTTGCAGAAAATTGCAACAACCAAGTACAGTGTATCTACCTGTCGTTTAACAACATTCCTGATTAAACTAACGTTATTTACAATTTTACACGGAGCTCTCCTATCCTACACAATATCGTAACACGTTGTAAGTCGAAGATGACCACCATGAACAGTCAGCGTGTTAAGATTACGATCAGACGCGATCGAGCGATTCTATTCGACGAGAATCGAGCGTGACCGTTAGCTTCTAGAATCGTTGTTTTTATCGTGGACGCGGAAAGTGAATTTCGAAGAGGATTCGTCGAAATCGTGAGAGCAAAGGTGTCCGATTGTTTTAACAGAGCTCGTTTCACACTTTCGATTTCCGTTCTGTTACAATTTTCTCGGGAACGATTTTCTTTTACGAGGCATGACGTTGCAGCGCCGGTGCTCGATAGATTCGAACAGCAATGAAACGATGGTCCCGGGAATGAGTAATGGCGAATTCTGCCAGAGTCACGCGAACGAAAACCTAATGGCAGTTTCGTTATTCCGCGGCAGTTACAATAACAACCGTTACGCGGTACGAGAAACTACATTCGCGTAACGGTGAGCGGTAAAATCGGAAAAAGGAGAGGCGCGGATCGACTATCCACGAATATAGTATAGTATAGTTCATTGATTTCTCAACCATTGCCGGACATCGCTCTTCGAACTAAATACAGGGTGTTCTGCCACCCCCGGGGGAAAATTTCAACGAGAGATTCTAGAGGCCAAAATAAGACGAAAATCAAGAATACCAATTTGTTGATGGAGGTTTCGTTAAAAAGTGATTAACAAGTAAATTCAAAAATTTCAAATCGTTCTAAAAAAATTATCTTTAGTTGCAGGGGTCAATTACAATCATTTTTTATGAACAGACATATCCCCGAAATCCTACCCATTTTCTAGAAAAAAATTCGAGAAGGTGCGAAATTTTTCGATAAAACACAATTTTTCCAATCATTCTAAAAAAAATATTTTCAGATGTGGTAGTCAATTACAATCATTTTTGGTCATTACACGCACCCTCGAAATCCTACGCACTTTCGAGAAAAAAATTCGAGAAGGTGCGAAATTTTTCGATAAAACACAATTTTTCCAATCATTCTAAAAAAAATATTTTCAGATGTGGTAGTCAATTACAATCATTTTTGGTCATTACACGCACCCTCGAAATCCTACGCACTTTCGAGAAAAAAATTTGAGAAGGTGTGAAATTTTTCGACGAAAAACAAAAATTTCAAATCGTTCTAGAAAAATTATTTTCAGTTGCGGGGGTCAATTACAATCATTTTTGGTGAATAGACATACGCCTGAAATCCTGCGCATTTTCGAGAAAAAAATTCAAGAAGGTGTGAAACTTTGAACGTTAATAACTTTTTCACGAAGCCTCCATCAACAAATTGGTATTCTTGATTTTCGTCTTATTTTGGCCTCTAGAACACCGTGTATAGTAAGCAATTGTACGAAGGGATCATCTTCGTCGGGAACAAATTTTCTAATCCGAGTTGGTCAGATCTTAGAAAGCGAGACTGGAACTAGTTGACCAAACGTATCGTTTCCAATGAATTTCCAATAAATGGAAATAAATTCGAGATAAAAAAATTATCCCTCGAGCTTTCCCTAAACGGAAATATTCGTCGATATAATTTTTGATAGATAAACTTGTACCGATCAGATAATATAAATTAGTCAAAATATTGTTAAATACCTTGTTTACACGATTAATAATAATTATTATTTGCCAGATATCGATTTGTTTAGATCGGTCCATTTACTTTACTAGCTTCCGTTACCTTCCTATCTTCCAGCGCCTAAATATCTGAAAAAGAGTGATATTCTTACGTGCGTGCAACTACGAAGGGAGATGCTGGCTGCAGATAAAAGTCCTACGGAAGAACGCTCAATTTTATGGAACCTGTTCCCACCGTGTGGCTCCCTCAAACGGGTTTAGTTAGGTGCATACGTTTCACGTTCGTATGCGTGCACAGGCGTTTTTAAAGACCATAAATTAACGTTCTGTTCTTACGACTGTGCCGGAGATTCCGAAAATTCGCAAGTATCTTAATTAGACCTTCGCGAAATTCCTGGGACGACAATTTCGATACGGGTTCATTTCTTAATTTCGCCCAAACGACGATTAACCTCGAACGGGACTAATTCTCGATAGTATTCCTTCAAACGTTTGCATCGAGAAATTTAACAAGTGCAAAGATTCTTCTTACGTTTGTACGAGTTGATCGCCGTGCAGATCAAGGGGTATCGTAGACGTGAAATTGGTAACATTTTTGCGAACAACTTCCGTCTCGTCTCGACATTGTCTTCCCGCATAACGGCGAGTCGGTTCGACTCCACTCGAGCACGTTTCACGAAGAGAGGGTGAAATAGAAAAGTCATCCTTCTCTCTCTCTCTCTTTCTCCCTTGCAATCAGGGGTGAGTGACTCACGTTCCGCAGCTTCGACGCCGACAGTCGTCGGGACGCTTACCCTCGAAATATTGATTCGCCGGCTCGGGGAAAACGAGACTGCTAACCCCTAGCATCGCCGTATCTAAATTCTTCTAACGCGGGCGTTTCTTGGCTTCTTATTCGCCGGGTCTTCTTCCATCCACTCGCGTTACAACATTTTCTTCCCAGACACGGTTTTCAAAGAACGACTAACCTGAACGGTATTACCATTACGATCCGAACAAACGTACACGTTCGTCGATTATTCCGAGAATCCAACTTTTTTCGACCATGTGCAACGGAAGAGACCTAACCCACGCGCCTTTTCTCCTTTCTTCGCGGACAGAAATTACCATGAATCGCGTTCGTTCGAACTCTATAAGGAAAAGAAAGAAACGCGGCTTGTTGAGGTCGTCGGAACGCAAAGAGGCCGAAGCGAAGCCCATAATGAATAATTGTAGCCGGGTATTGTTACCAGTCGTCGTTCCAATTAATAAGGCATTTTTCTCGTGAGAAAGCACCGGCCGCGACGCCGTCGTAGAAAAATCAAGCCACGGGAATGTGCCATTCGAAAAGGTCACTCACCGTCCCGCCAAGGTCGCCGCAGTTTTGTCACATCGCGAGTCCACGCCCAGCCTCGTCGATTAATCCTTTAATCCTTTCCTCGCACTTTCGTCCACGCGTGCACGGAAAAATCTACGAAGAGGAACGAGATTCACGAATGTGAAAGAAAAACAAAAACTCCACGGGTGTACCACGGGGAACGACGTGCACGCACTTCAGCTACTCTCGGCAGCGTCGCGACTACTACGAACCAGTCCATACACGCACGACCAGTCTTACGTGCGAGCGTAGTAGAGGGCGACTACCTGCGACCGTGTATCTCGACATTGACTTCGAGCGACGATCAAACGACCACGATCTCTGCTCCGGCCACTGATCCAAGGCTCCCGCGTTTCTTTTTTATTCACCTAACCAACGGTTCTTTCCCCTCAAATTTTCTGAAATCGATCGAAACAAAACGTTTCATTTTTTTTCCCTTAATCGTAACCGGATAGTCGTTCGAAAATTTTCGATCGATACTGGTCCGGAATATATTGAGAAACTCGAACGAATTCGATATTCAAATATCGCTGGAAAAAAATAACGGTACATGATGCTTCTTTAGATGGCTTCGATTTAGCCCTGTTCGACGTAGGATGAAATTATAATTGTCTTTTGGCGATCGTATTATACGACGTACGTATATACAATGTATAGAACCATAATTTACTTCGTCCGTTTGTATTATTGCTGTGATTGTTATTTTCAAAATTTTTACTTGAAATAATATATAAGTGCAGTTAAAGTACGAGTCAAGAGACACGTTACTCAAAACAGTATTTCAAATAACGTTATTTCGAAAGTGACCAGCTCTGGCACAAAGTATGCAATGCTTTCTATACGCTGCATACGAAAGCCCTCTACGATAATACAACTACGATAATAATTGCTATTAAACAAGTTACTTCGAATTAACATCGGGATGCTGTTTGTACACACGAATAATTACGAAGGCTTTATACGTTTCTTCGATGAATCAATCGAAGATTGAAACCAAAAAATGCCAGAACGTTCGTAGGTTGTGTGCTTGTAAAAAGAAATATTCTTCACACAACAATCGATACCGCCACCCATCACTAGCGATCGATGCGATTTATGTATCAGTAATAACGTTTGATATATGTCTAAAATGAAATTCATCACATACGGTGAAAAATCCGGGAAAACCGAGCCACACGAACTACACACCTTTGCTACCGTCGACAGCGTCGGCAACTGTTGCAAACTCTCTCCTGACGTGCACGAGGATCAAACACATCCAAAGAATTCGTGTGTATACGAGGATCCTGCAACGATCAATTTTTTACGAGACAATATTCTTCATCGTAGCAAGAACAAACTGCTTATTATTACTCTAATTTCACCTCCGATCGATTTAACGAAATTTTAATTAATTGTCCGCAGAATTAATCGCGATACGAACGATATTTTCCATAGAAAGTTTTCGAAGTTAATTAAAATAATATCTGGTCGGCGCTAGATTGGCGCTCGAAACGCCATCTGAAATATAATTTCAGATTGATACGTCAGAGGGCGCCACTGAATTATGAAACAAATGTCTTTCGTATTTTGTCCGCTACTTTTTAATGTGACTTTCGCGAAGTTGGAAATAATTTTGTGAGAATAATTGATATTTCGTCCAAGATTTTGTCTGACACTCGCAATAAAACGAAGGTAAGAGTTTCATTATTAATTTGGATGATATTAACGTCTTCTTGCAATTATTCGATCAAGCCGATTGACAGAAATTACATTTCGTAAGAATTGATCGAATCATTGTGAATGTGCATTATCAATAAAACGATACGATGTAAATTTATCCATAAACGCGGAACATTTGTGAATTTATTATATTTGTACAGAATATAGCATCTGAACTAATCGAAATGAAACGCTGCGTGAAAAATGAATCCAAACATCACCTTTTTGATAAATTGGATGCTAGTGATGTTTGGAAGGATTTTAATTGTCCAAAATATATTCCTCGCACGTGTTATAGAACTCATAAATTAACGAAAGAAATATTTGATTTTAATAACCAATTTGATACAAATATAAACTATATTTTACGAAAGTTAGATGAACTTATATCTGATCCAGTAACAAGTAATAGTACACCCCGTATATGTAGACTTTTGTACGAATATCTTCACGAAGTAGACGATAATGGTTATGTATCCTTTAACGATCGTACTAATCGTTTTATAAACGTTCTCTGTTATATTCTTTTTTTCGTAAAAATAAACAAATATTTTTTTTATTCTAATTACGAAATTTTCCTTAAAAACACCTTTAGAAAGTGAAAGATTTACCGACGGTAATAAAAGTATTACCATTTTTGGCTAGGAATGTAAAATCAGTCAAAGAATATGAGTTGTATCTAGATCAAATGTTAGAGCTTTGTAATTTAACACCTTTGTTGGAAAAATATTCGGAAAATTTAATTATTTTTGATATTATGGAACAATATTTTACATTATTGGGGCATCTTCTTGAGATTTTACCAACTGATAAACAAATATTAAAAGTCCATGAAGCCCTTCACTCCTTGTTATTAGGGACACACTCTACAAATGTTGCAGCAGTAAAACTTGAATATTGCCATAGAGTTATGGAAAAATCTAAATTGCCAATATCTGTGACCAATTTATTAAAAGTTTCTGTTCCAAGCATGTATCAACAAGTGCTAGAATTGATTTTTCTACTTTCATCTATATCATATACATGCTGTAAGTAGCAAAAACTTGATAGGATGATAGAAACATAGTTACTCTCAGAGAAATTATATTTTCATAAAGTTAATTAAAGCTCACAGAATGCTAGAAGCTGGTGTGCTTAATACAATACTTGTTAGATTTGATCTTCCCTATGCTACTCAACTACGTTGCACTAGACCACCCGATGCACTATTAAGTGGTACAGAATACTCTGATGATATGACTTTCTTAATAATAAATACTTTATGGAATCTGATCAAATCTGTTCTTCCTCCTAGCAACATCTCTATTGATTTAAAGAATACTTTAACATGCGTGCAATGTGGCTTATGGTAAATTTCCCCCAGGATTACATACACCTATAGTAAGATCGGTAATAAAAAATTAATTTCTATTAAACAGGGGTTTACGGTACACGTTTGAAAGGCAAATATCCTACAGCCAACATCGAAGTAACAGTATAAAAATTAGAAACGAAATTACTGGCATTATTCTTGCATTGTTGGTTACTTTCCCCTCTTGGAATTTCGTTAGCAGTGGTATAGCTGATAAAGTTATTAAGTTTTTTATTGGAGTTGAGACCGGCAATGTAAGAGTGTTCTCAGAAAACGTCAAATTTGGCAGGACAAACGAAGATTTATTTTTCGAAAAAAATTTATTGTTAATTGTTATGCATCTGGCACAAATCGATGCATGCATTTTTGTAATTATTCCATTAATTTTAGGGTATTATAGAGTATTATTAGAGCGTTATAGAGTATTTTAATTCTTTAATATTTATCTACAACAGTTAATGGTAAAGAGAAAACTCATGGAAACCATACTTCAACTTGTTAACCCTAATGTTGATGTTTCCAAAGTTACATGGAGTACACCACAGTTTTGGAATTTATGGGCATATGCCATAAATGCCTTAGCAGTGTTAGCACCCAAAATGCCAAAAGAATTCGTAAGATACGACGGCACGGTTAGGTATTTGAAATTTAATTTCGATCTTTTCTAATACGGGAAAATTTTGTATCTTTATAGATTATTAATGCTATTGGACTGGAGTTTAAGTACAAAGCCTGATACAAAGATAATAATGAATTGTACAAAAACAATCTGTACAATTATTCTAAATGACAATATATTTTTAATAGAAAATTTTCGAGAGTATGGAGCAATATTATCATTAATTAGTTAGCGTTTTCTTTATGATTAACGTTGACTTTTATTTGTTCATCATTTTAATATTGTACAGCAACATTATTATTCCCCATATAGAACTGATTAATTATATTTTGAAGTTTGAACAAATTCCAACACAGAAGCAAAGAATTTTAACATTGGTGTTAGTCACACTTGAGAGACTTTTGAAAAAACAATCATTTTACAAAGAAATGTATGGAGAACAAAGTATTATATTTATTATGGAATTGTTATTTCAATGTTTGTACCAGAAAGATAAAGAAAATCAGATAGATCAACGGTAATGTTTTTTATAGCTAATGGTTGTAGAGTATTTGAAACATGTTATAACATTGAAATGTTTGGTAGTCTTTTGTTAGCAATAGGTTCATATATTTGGGAATGTATAGTTCAGTGTCCAACGAATCTTGAAAGATTTATCAAATATGGAGCAGTATACGTTATTCTTGACATCATTCAAATTGTTCCATATCTCTCTCAATGTTTATTTCTTGGTGTTTTAACCGATATGTGTGATAATTTTTTCTGTGGACCTTATTTGTGTACTTGGAGAGGAATTGATAAGAAAAATGGATTGATGTCCTTGCTAACTACAATATGGAGAGAAGAAGAAATTCGAATAAAAGTTGAAAGACACACAGATGGTTCTGTAAAAGGCAAATTGCATAATTGTTGCAATTATTTATTAAGGAAATTGATTAAAAGTTCTTACATCTAATGTTTCTTATACATCAGACGAAGAATTGTCTCAAATGAGCAACAGACAGTGGATAGAAACATACCATACAAAGTTATGTGGAAACATTAGCCCAGCAATACACGATATGATTGGTTCTGTTAGATCAAAAATATACAGTATTCGAAAAATAATTGAGAGAGATATCGAAAAATACGAAATGGCAAAAGAGCATTATAAAATATTGTACATTGATCTTCCAATGGAAGACAGAGTGAGTCAAATATAAAAGGATTTCTCTAATTTTAATCTTTTAGAATTGATATAGATATAGTTGTGATATGCAATGTCTTTCCAGATCACAATGTCTTCCATAGATTTGTATTTTAAATTAAAGTTAGGTGAAACATGGGTAGAAATTGCTAGATATTTTGAACAAGTTGGCATCACTCCACTTGGTATGGATGGTCAGGCAATCTTTCTAATGACGCAACAATATTATTCGTTTGGAGTAATGATAAAAGAGAGACAAAAGAGAATAGTACAATTTGTTAAAAGGGAAGAGGAAATACAAGAAAAAGATGAGTATGCAAGGATTCGTGATTCTAAGCTTGCTCTATCATTAGATGCATTCGACGAATTAGATTATATATATAGAACAACAAATAGAGCATACATGTTAAAAAAGAAAAATGAACAAAGGCAGCAAATTAATTTAGCCTTGAATTTCCCACCTGACTCGAACAATGCACACTGGCATAGAACATTCATGGACAAACCAGAGTCTACGGTAAACATAATACTTTTGTCTGTTACATAATTATCCTAGATAATACTTTATAAATGCTTTTATACACAGGCCATATATGATCAAAATCAAAGAATAATTAGTAGTTTAGTAACAGATTCAAATCTTGATCAAAGGAAGGTTTCATCTATTTCACCATATCATTCAGAGATTTTTGACGAAATGTCTTGTTCTATGATAAGCAATAGCTTGTTCGAAATAGATGAATTATGAATACAGCTATGTTACTTTTAAACTATTTTAACGAAACTCTTGTTATCATCGTCTGAAACTATAGAAGCCTTCATTACCGGCCTAAATTTTAAGCATAATTTTTTGAGTATTTTGTAATATTGTGCTAATAAAGATTTAAAGAGATTTTAAGAAACAGTGCATTTTTTTGTCAGTAAAAAATCTGACGAAAACAGGGCATTTTTGTAGTTTGGTATTATTTTAATAGCTCTAATAAAAATCCTACACGAAGAAACCGGCAAGGGAATCAAAAGTTTATCTAACGAAGATGTTCTGGGCTTTAAATATGTGGTAGATGCTGTGGTACATATAGCAGAATAAAAATATTTAAAAAATATAGAACAATTTAATAGAATATCAACCGTCAATACTTTTTAAGTAGATTGGACACATTTCAGTTTCTGCTATCTGTTCTAGAATTAAAATTTTATAATTTCAAGCGTATCAGAGACCGGCAACAGTTCGATTGGCTCCTCCATTATCTGAATTGTTTAGATTCTCTTGATTATCTAGATAACGTAACGGAAACTCCCCCAGGAGAGTGGCCGAGAAACAATGTGGTGTGGTAGCGGCAACGAGTCAGTGAGTGCCAACATGCCGTTCCCGTAGCAAGTGATCGTCATCGTCGTTCTCGTCTGTCCGGTACCGGTTTAAAGACGCGTCGGACCAAAGTCCTCGTCCGCCTGTCGCTCCTTCTTGCGCACGGTTCGTGAAAGAAATACAAATTGATCGCGAGTTTTCGTGCTGAAACGACCGTTACAGAGAATTGTTTCACGGTGACGTTTGTGAATACCAACACCGAACCCGTTGCGTACAAATAAAAAAAGAAAAAAAAAATTCGTCGGCGGCTTCTCGTCGACTAAAATTTTTCGCTTCGTTTCGTCAGTTTCCTTTCGCCTCTCTGCCTTTTCTGCCTCTGCCCTCTCGCTTCGTCCCTGCCTCCGTCTTTGTCCACCGTCTCTCATTCTGTCTCCATCGTGTCTCCATATCCCCCTCTTCTCTGTTCATCCTTCCGTCATCTCGTCGGTCGCGCGCGACTCAGACGGGACACGAACAGCCGCACGGATTTCTATACGGTTCCGTGTAAAGCAGGAGAGTTTAACAACTACGTAAATATGGCGTGTGAACGATGGTGCTTTAACCGTGGCTGTGACGGAGCTACCCGACGATGGCCGTGCATCCTGTTGTTGCTGGCCCTGTACGTGCTCGGCTCGAGCCTCGCGGACAACGGGTCCGGTGAGTCTTTTCTCGATTCAACTTGTTGCGCCTCTGTACGTGTTCTCTTTCGCGGCTTCGGCATCGAAGATGCTTTTTCTTTTTTTTTCGACGATCTCTCGAAAGAAAAAGTCTCGACCGACGAAAGACGGAGCGAGAGAACAGAGCGTGCGCCTCTTCTTACGCGTTACTACTACGCAATTTCACTAAGCGTGGCTGTCCCCTTTAAAGATACAACTTCCCTCGATCTTGCTCGGTGTCCTTCCTTTCTGTTGCACGTCTCTCATCGCGATAATCGCCCGAGTGTTTCTGCCGCGTGAAACTTGCTTCGATTCGTCGAGAGTTCACGTGAACGCGTGAACTCTCGAACAACTTTTCTATCGTTATTATTTAAAGAGAGCTCGTGTGTCATATTAGACATACGTACGATAAGAATTAATAACGATAAATTACTTAGAATTTGATTCGTTTTTTTACGTTTTTTTTTTTGACGAAATCCCTCTCTCTCATTCTTTGTCTCGAACCTTCTTGTTTACGTCATACCTGCAAATCTCTCGTAACGAACTTGATCGTTGTTAGTGAGATTGCTTTAATATACCTTATTGCGATTATATAATTACGTAGTGTCGCTCGATTCACAAACTATACGAAAGTCTTTGCTACGAGGAGGGGGGTTCTGGTGCCGATTTAAAGCAGGTTTGAAACGACGATCTTGCCCGCGTTGTTTTTGCCTGTTTGTCATTCTATCCATAGAGTTCTATCGCCGGCGTTGCCAATTTTTCAGAGTCGTTAACCTTTCTCGATGCAGGTACGTGTTTACCTGCATTTGTTCTTTTGGCCATTCGGAAAATATAAACGCGCGATCTTTTTCTCGGGAACATATCGCGATACTTTCTACTTTAACAGGAACACGTACGTTTATGAAAGCTACGTTATCACGAGATACAAAAGTGGGGAGCAGGTGGTCGATTTAGCAGCAACAATAATAATAGTAACAACTATGACAAGTGCAACCGTTCACCGTGTTTGCCGAATCGCGGGAAAACAAGTTTACGTTTCGAAGTGTTGTTATAGAAAATGAGAAAAGATCGAAGACGCCGCGACGTGTCCGGTTTTTACGTTCGCTCACGCGTATTGGAGAATGGGTGGGATTTTCTGAGACGACAGATCAAAAGGTTATCGGAGGAAGGGGTTCCGTTATATTTCTCGATTGCTACCGTATTCACGACAAATAATGTATAAAGAATCTGAATTCATTTATCTCGCGTTTCTAAACTAACGCTCGCTGCGCATTTCTTTTTGTTTACCGCTTGGCGATTTAACACGTTAGACGCCATTTTGGTCCCTGGGGGGACCTAACCTTTCCGTTCAAGGCCTGTTTACCCTGGACGAAATTTCTATATATAAAAACATTACTGTTTTGAACATAAAAGATATTTTAATAATATTGAAATAGTTCTGGAGGTCTCGATCGTCTTACAATTCTTGAGAATTTTGATAATCGATTCGTGAATTGACTCTCGAAACTTTATTATAATTCGATGAGTGTACAATTTTAATGTGCGAACCTAGGTCGATGTTCTTTTCGTACAGTTCATTGTCCTTTAACGCGTTGCCATTTTGCGAACAAATTAAATCGATTTTAGAAATAAATCGGTAAACGGATACCGATACCTAAAAATATTACAGTTCTACATACTCTTAAATCTCTGTTACAGGATTTCTAGGACGAATTAGGACGTACATAAAATAATTCACAGCGAGCGGTCCATTCCCTCGATTAAAAAACATTTGGGGTCGCTGACGATCGTGACGATCGGTTTCATAACGACCGTGGAATCGTATATAGGTTCGCACGTTCGTGATACGATGTACGATACTCGGTTGCTTCATCGGTTTCATTATTTTTCCCCCGTGATCCGATTCTCGAAAGCCTCTTCTCGGGACTCCCGACGAAATAAAAAGGGTCGTACGCGTTCGTAAAGTGTGAGGTTATGTCGGAGGTGTACTATGGCACGCTTTGTTTCGAGTGGTCTTTCGCGGCAACAATCGACACGCGTACGCTTCACGGTCGATCGTCAACGAGTGGCCACTTGATCGAAACAGGCCGAAATTGTCGACACAAAGAACTGCGAAATGCGAGCACCGAATCCTCTCACCTCCGCTGGAAAAGCGTTCTCGTTCGGCCGCGACACGCTCGTTGCATTCAAGGCTGCAGGGGCAATTAAATGACAATGAGACTCGATATAGCCGCTTGTCGGAATACCGTGGAAAAGGACGGTCCGCCGGCGCGAAACAACGTTCGAGAAAAATTTTATTAATTGCTGTATTTTGCATAATCGTTTAGTTCGAAGACTAATCGCGATGCTATTTGATCGTGACTTTGCCCGTACATTCAAGGAAAGCAGAATTTATCGACATCCTCGCCTCCACAAATCAACAAACATCGATTTCTTTAACACTTACACGGTGCGCCTACAGGGGGAGTATAGAAGACCTTCGGTTCACCGATTTAACTGACACTTTGTACACCGGTAGCGACAATTCTATACAGAATTATGTATAAATAGTATTCGTGACCCGATATTATTATTCGAGATCGATTTTTCGTTGCACCGACGCGTTTGTATAAACGATCCACCAATCGTATCTCTCGTCATATTTGTAACGACGTGGAAAGTTCAACGTTCTCCTCGAATTAGTTCTTTGGATCGACTCCCGCGCTATTTTCGTCGCGTTTCAACTAAAAATAGAAAACATCTGGTCTTCTTGGCAATACGCTCGCTTATATTCGTATAGTCGCCGTGAATGTAGCTAGCTTTTAAGCCCATATCCGAACTTTGCATGCTGGATCAATTGTTGCATCCAGTAAATGACTTCACTTTTCACTTTACGGTAGTATAACCGTCACGGTGGATAAAATCAGTGTACGTTGGTGTTTTACGACACAGGTGATTCATTACATACAAAATGAGGTCAATTTTAGCTGCCAAGTGCCGTGGATCAAAATGTTTTACTTTTTGCCAAGTCCTGTTCGTCGTAACGTGACGTCAGTGTAATGGACCGTTCAATTTAGCCAGACAACATTCGAGGTATTTCAGAATCGTATCTGATACGAATAATAATAACATTTTCATTGAATTTAATCTGGTTTTGTTAGTTGAACATGATATTTTAAACGATCTATGACTAAACATAAAATACAGCTACAAGCAATAAATTCTCAAGGTAATTTTAAGGTTAGCTTTTATAATTTCGTGCGGGGAATTTCGGATCTGGTGATATCGTGGAAAAGATATTATGCACAGGAAATAATACGACGATCTTAAACGACTGTAGCTGAAAAGCGCATCGCTTTGAACGGTTCCGTCCGTACAGGGTTAATTTTGTTGGCGAGCGTGTGTTATCAAAACGTTCCGGCAATGAACGTGTTAATTTACGATCTCGCTGTACTCCTCCATCGACTGTTACGTTCGTCTGCGGCCGTCGAGCGAACGGTTCGGTCGTAGAACACACGTGTGTACGGCTCTCGTTGCGGTATCTTTTTTCGCCATTGGTCTCCGCGGTAATACCGTGTCCACGTAGCCGAGAACACGAAGATGCGTACCACGCGCCCACACGTATCCGATTTCTGCGACGTATATCGCGTTCAATATGCCTGTAACGCGACATAATCCTATATCGTGTTCCTCGGGCTGGTCGGTGCAACGCACGTTACGAATACCCGCAACAGACGGACAGACGGTCTCTTAAGCCGCTTCCTTCGCGTAAATCTACACCTTCGCCGCATGCCACTACCTCCGACAAGAGTTTAACGATTCGATTCTCCGAGATTTAACACGAATCCCAGCTTCCTTCGTTCGAAAATTTCGAAGAAGATTTCCAAGTAGTCCAAACCGAGTATTGAAACGAACCCCTGACGCGAATCGTGAGTCGAACGTTTCTGTCCCCTCCCAACCGATGGGGGGATCCCCCTCGGAGTCGGTGAAGCGCGAAAGACGACGGTTAAAAACGATATACGAGCCGGGATGCCGGCGACGATTTGTATAAAAGATAATGCTCTCTTTTCTTATTCGCTCTCGTTCGTTGTTCTTTTCTATGGCCGTCGGGAAAAGATAAACACGACTTCGAGGCTCGACGAATATCGCTGCGTATAAACGTCTGGTGTCGAATTTCGGTCCGAAGCGTAATTATCTCGTGGTGTAAAAAACTATTGCGTCGAAGCGTGGATCAGCCACGTGCGTTCGCGAAAAGGTTTCGAAGGAAGGATGCAACGATCGAAGCGAATCGAATACCACCCACGTGCCCTATTTTATACGGTCATTAAGCCCTTCCTTTCGCTCATGGTCCTCCTGATTACCCTTGATTGAACCGTGTCTTGCACACCGGTCGTTCATAGTCTAACGGAAATTATAGGTCATCCACATTGTGCATAAACCGTGGTATTAAGTATCAAGTTTAATCGTTACTCGTCGTGGCAGGGGCACGTCGCGAGATTTGTTATGACCAAGGATTCCTCGGCGTTAACCTCGTTTCATGCATAATTATACACGAGCGATATTAATTATACGCCGCAACGATAACTTTAACGACGTTCCAACGTCGAAAAACAATTACTTATCGGTTCGTCCTATTATTAGTGAATTGTCCGGCGACGACGACGAATCGAGAAACAATTCAGCCTTCTCGTTACGCTGATCCCGATTAAGTCAGCGCCGATAAATCCGTGACAGAATCGCGGCGCGCGATCTGCCCGGACAAAGTCTGTTTCGAGTTCTACGCTTACGTCAAGAATAACTGTTACCCGCGGCGATAGGGATCTTGTGTAAGTCGTGTCAACTATCATGGTAATACGCCATGCATTTTACATGTATCTCGAGCGATGCAAATTTTTTTTCTCCGATATCGGGAAAACTTTCGCGACAGCCTTGCGTTTCGAAATCCATGGAACTGTAATTGTATCAAAGCGAATATCGATTAAAAATGTCGGCGCGCCGGGCATCGGAAGAATACAATTGCGG